CCTGCCTAAAAAAAACGCCCAAGTTTTATCTTGAAGTGATTGGGGATCACTAAGAATCCTTCGAAAAGAATAGATGTCCGAAATAAGGGTAAATGACAGGAACCAAAATGAAGTGAAAAGAATGATTTTGCAATTATAATAAAATTTGCAGTATATTTAAAACTATACCAGAGGTGCGCACACTGGACAGAAAAGCCGTGTCACTTTATTTAAAGCCATAATGTATCACTTTCGCTGCAGAATTTAACCTTGTTTTGTTATTATCCGAAGTGACCTTCACATTAGTCAAATTAACTAACGGTTTCCGGTCTCCGGTTTCTACCGGTTAGTCTCAAGAATCCCGTTCCATATAATACGGTATAATCTAGGAATACATGTATTTGGACATGCATACTTTTTATTAGCATTTAAAATAATATCATTATAGATTTTCACCCAATATTAAATTTCATAATCGTTCCTTTCCCTACATATTCATCAAGAATATAAAAATTATATATAGAAATTCGTTTCAATAGCAAAAATTAAATATCAACATTATCATGGGTTTTTTCATTGTTCAATATTGCATATTTTAAGTCATGCGACTGTTGAAATTAAGATGTATACTCAACATCACTAATTCCGCGTCATCACTTATTTAACGGTAGTGGCATATTTTCATGTGACCAGTATTTTAAATTTCTAGATTTTTACGTAAAACAGAACAACATTTTACAAATTTCTGCAAAAAGCAACAATAGTCCATTAAATTTGTGCGTATGTCTGAAACAATCATCATTTTCTAAATGTCCTTGTTTGTTGAAAAAATAAATTTTGAGTTACAACGTAGGGATAATTTTAATATTTAAAATCAAGCAAAATAACATTAGAAATTTAACTGAAGCATGAAAAAACGTAAATGTTACACCATTACCGCGATTTAAATGATGAATACTGTTTTCAAAACGGCCGAGATATGGTCTACATTTGGTCTATTAAAAATGACTTTGACTGAATATATTGTTGTTTCCTTGTGCCATACAGCAGAAAATACCTTTATGTTATAGCTTATGACAATTTTTGTACCATAAGTTTCATTTGTTGTTTTCTTTCTGGGTTCAAAGCGTTAAGTACCGTGAACTAAGAGGAGCACAGTATAAAATGCGTTTTAATAACGATAGCAAAACGTTCTGCCTCTGAATAACAGAGGTTAAAGCTCTGACAGAGCACTGCTGAGGCTGACATTTTCTGTTTCGTTACGTCAAGACTAGCTTTAAATACTTTTTTCCATTTTATGTTGGTGGTTTCCTTTATTTAAATACTTTTTAATGGGTTATAAAATATGTTCACATATTACCAAAAAATAAAATGAATAATACTAATACAAGTTAATGATAAAAAATACATTCTAACACTATCGGAAATTTTTCTATATAAACAAAGAAGGCCCGAAGCGTGCATTATTCTGCAACAATGCACTCGCCATTCTTATTATCTCGCTGTGTATTTTTACATTGAGGGCGCCATTTTGTTTGAAAAATCTGACAAATAAAAACAATTTTTTGTCGAATTTTGTTGTGAAAACTATCTAGAATGATAGAAAATGGTCTAACTAAGAAAATAAATCCAAACACCAATATCTTTAATTCAGTCGTTAACGCTGTACAGACGTTTAAAGTGTTGTTTACTTGACGTCACAATGTAGCGCCAAACAGCACGTGCAAAACAATCAAAATCAAGTACGCTATTTTAACGTCGCAGACGAGTTAAGTTTTACATTTATTTCACTTTTAATAATTTGTATTTCGCTTGGAAAATTATAGACTGAAATAGAATAAACAAACAAAGTTTTATCAACGTTTTCAAAATTCGTTATTCTCAAAATGTTTCTACACACGGTAGATTTAACGACAGTTTTTTTTCAACCCACTGGAACGGCCTTTAAAGAACGTTTCTATTGGAAACTCTGAGGCGAAAACAAATTTAACCGCCAAACATAAAGTCCAACTTTATAATAATACTTATATTTTTTCTTGACGTGTTAGAATGGAAATAGATATTAATTCTTCGTGCATTATTGTATAATAATGCACGTTTTTCGTTCAAATGCTTTGTAATTAATCACTCAGGCCTATCGGCCTTCGTGATTATATTACTACGCATTTGAACTCAAACCGTGCATTATTCTACAACAATGCACTCAGAATTGATATCTATTTAAGAAATAATATATCCCAAACAGTGATTTTATCGCTCAATAACATCACTGTTTGGAGTTCGGATGCGAGGAATTATATCACGAGGGCGTAGCCCGAGTGATATAATGATGCGCATCCGAACGACAAACAGTGATGTTATCAAGCGATAAAATCACTAATTTGGATATATTATTTCGATTCTAACACGACATCAACAAATAAAATTATGTTGCCGTACTTGATAGCTAAGCAAAATTGCGCCTGATTTGTTTCCGTACTTATTTTCAGCGCGTCGGATTTTTAGTGGTTACGTCGCGTGTATAATGATTACGTCACATGTCTAAATATAGAACGTCAAACTGTGCATCTGTTGCATAATAACACACATTATTTCATGCTTTCCAGTGTTTTATTGTAATATATCAGATGATTATATTCTGATAAACCACTAGTGAAATTTATAAAATATAATTTTCACTGTAGCCGGACTATATCTGAATGCGGATGAAAAGAAAATCAAAACTGAATGGAATAACAGGCAAAAATAAATGCCGTCATGCGTAAATTTTGCTTCTTTCGGAAAAGAAAGTTGAGGTCACCATACATTATGTTAAAAATGTAACAAAATTAAAGAAATTTAACAGAACTATATTTCAAACTTGTTGATGTGACGTCATGATGTGATGACGTCACGAAGGAGAATGCGCGACGTTACGCGGCAAAATCAGTAAAAATTACTTAAAATCACTTAAAACGCATGAAATAAAAAGAAAATTTATTTGTTTTACATATAAGATTGAAATATATTTCATTCGTGAACACCAGCTATTATATTTTCACTCGTGGCTACGCCACTCGTGAAAATATTGCATCTGGTGTTCACTCAGTGAAATTATATTTCAATCTTAAATGCAAAACAAACAAATATCCTCTATCTTTCTGTTCTTCTATGTTCAATAGGGAAAAATGCGGGTCGTGTTAGAATTCCTAATTAAATACAGCAATACAACAATTGAGCGATGCAAATAAGAATTATTTCAAGTAAATGAATGAAATAAAAAGAATCTTATCACAATGTCTCAATTAAGAAGGGTAGTTCGCATGAATTTGGAAGAAAAGAAAATGTTAAAAATTAATGTAAAACTCTCAAATCCCTTTTATACAACGTAATTTAATACGATTGGGCATATACAAACTGTTCACAAAATTGCACGAGATACGAACATAGCCGAATTTTCTCGGACGTGAATTTCCGCTGCAAGAGTACGTACGTTACGGTACCATCCAATGCAATACAATAGCAGACGCCACGGAAACAAAACGACAATTGAGCATTCGCGGACATTCACTATATACTGTATTTTCCCGCGCTTAATTGACAAATAGCTAGTGCACGGCAAAATGAACCCGTGACATAAATATGTTGTGGTTTTTTATGTCCATGGGTTTGGCTTGATGATGGTTGGGACCCCATTGGAAATAAGCACACCAGACCACTCTTAACAAAACCATTGTATTGAAATTTTATTATTATTTTTTTTCTTTTAAAATCTATGTTAAACTATTTAGTTTTATTTGTCATGTCTATCAGTAACTTTAAACAATATTCTGTGCTTATTATTATTCTGACTTGTTGTAGTCATAATCTGAACTGTGAATTTTTTAAATAATTTTATCAAATGCCTCATCTTATATTATATGTATATCCTTTTTATGTAACTGTGATTTATGTTGACATTGCAAAAATAAAATAAATAAATAAATACTATTGTAATGATTATGGACAGACTTTGATGATATAAATACAGTAAAGTAGTCATATTTGTATTTGATAATGTGTTTATATGCAGGCGATACATGTGATCTTCTTCTTTTTCCAGTATACTTGCCACCTTCAACTAACTAAAGTTTACTGCCAGGTTAATGGGTTGATGTCTAGTTTATACCTAAAATAATATTCTTTCAATATCTAAAATTTCTCTTGTGTTTCCTTCTAGATGAAATCTTAAAATTTATAATCAATGAACTTCTTTCAAGTTTTTAATTATTTACAGTATTTATTACTTTTTTTTTGGTCAAACAATTTTTTTAAACAAATATTAGATCTATTAATGCTATTTTTATCATCATGCTTTTCCCGTCAAATTGAAATTTTAAAAATCAAATTCAGCACAATTATTTTCGTTACTTCTGTAGTTCCTTTGGGTTTATAAAAAGATACCTAAAATGGACGACAACATTGTACATTTAAATGTTTGGGGAGGAGATTGGGATCTTCCATCCGTTGATCCAAACTGTCTTGCTGCGTTGGTAAACATAATCAAACTTTTACACGACTCTTTTGTAGATCAGTTAAAACAATCATTATTAAATCCTCCAGTATGATGCACACAATAAATATATATTGGTGACCTCTTTACCCCACCCATTTCTGTCAGTGGTGTATAGTGTTCGGATAGGCAATATTTTGGATATCTCTATAAGTAAAAAGCGAAAAGAAGAATGAAAACTTTATTATTGTTGATGAAAATGTTGTTCTAAGGTACTAAATAAAGAATAGACTACATTATCATAAATTTAGGATCATTCTTCCCTAGCATGCCCTCTGACTGTTCTTTTAACTAAATAATATGTATAGAAAGCCTGATTGGGGCCTCAGGCCCAGCAAGGACTGTAGCCCTCTTAGATAACATGCATGACATGAATGTATTATATTGAAATCATTTTAAAATTAAAAAGTTCAGACTTCTGACGATTTTTACTGTGCATGCATGTACCCCTAGCCTTTTGGTTCTTATGTGTGCATGCAGAATTGTGTGCATGAATCATGCACTGAAGGGCATACTGGACATATGTGATTTAGACAGATTGTTACATGTATATCAAATATTTATGTAAGCTTTAACCACTTACAAAAGGTGAACATTATAGCATTTTTCTCCTTAGTGCTAGAATAAATTTAAATACTTGTGTTTCTTTTTTCACATTTTCAGGCATACTGCAGGTTTTCTGGTGTACCTGTAAAAGTTCATAAAAATACTAATCCATGGAGGTCGCCGTCAGGTGAGTAGTAGCAATTTAAGCAGTTTAAAATAAGTTTGAAGACTTCTTATAGGAGATAACTAAGCTATTTCGTTTGTAAAATGTTAAGGTCAATAAAAGATTACTACTCAGACAAAAAACTCATTCAGATTTTGACTGAAATTATTTGATGTAGTTTCTTGTGCATGTTCATAAGACATTAAAATATTTATTAATATCTAAGCTACAAGGTATTTTGTTCGTTCTATATATAAAGTGATTTTCGGTGTACAGTCAAACATGTGAGTAAAGGCCATCTGAAGGAAGGATCACACATGACCTTTATAGAAAAGTGGTCTTTATTTGGAGTATACTCTGTTGTATTTTTATCAATAATATTTGTCTTTATTTACAATATGGTCTTTATTTTGTAGGTGGTATTTAACACAGGTTGGATTTTAAATGCAATCATTGTGTATTTAAATGATGATTATAGCTTTTGATGTTATGAGTGATGTATGATAAGGGCACAATATTTTCTTCTTTATAGAATTTATAATATCTTCATTTCAGGTACATTTCCATGGTTTATAATATCATTATTTCATGTACATTTCCATGGTTTATAATATCATTATTTCAGGTACATTTCCATGGTTTATAATATCATTATTTCAGGTACATTTCCATGGTTTATAATATCATTATTTCAGGTACATTAATAATATCATTATTTCAGGTACATTTCCATGGCTCAAACATAACAACAATAATGAGACAAAAGTTGCAAATATTTTCAGTTATCTGAGAAAACAGGTCAGTTTATAATTTTGTTGAAGCCTAAAGGCTAAACAATTAAAAAAAATGATAATCGGAAAATATGATTTATGTTATGTATTTTATTCTATGTATGATATAATTACCAATATGATATATTGCTGATACATGTATTGAAAGAAAATTAATTAAAACAAACTACATCAAGACAATTTTGAATAAATTACTGAATTTAAGCATGGCAATCATTTACTTTCTATTTCATGAATTGTAAAGAATTCTGTCCAGCAGTTTTGAATATGTATTTATGTTATTTTATTTACTGTCAGAATATGGGATCAGACTTCAACTTGTCAACAAAACAGAGTGCTGATGTAGTAGCATACATGGCCATGCTGGAGGAAAAACTTCTTCCTGGCTTGGTACTCACCTTCTCATCTTAACTCAAGTTCATCACTAGTAAATTGTATCTTAATTAACATGTTTAAATTATTCCTTTATGAAAATTTTAAAAATTTCCTGTTTTACATGTACAAGTTGGTTGCTATTTTAATCATTGACAGCTATGGTTTTACATCACTGGGCTCTTACTGCCATGGGTTTAAATCTTTAAAATGATAAAGTCCTTTCACAAAATTTTGTGAATGAAAGATGTGAAGTTGTACCAAGATGTTCAAATGTGTCAAAAGTAAAATTATTTTCTACACCTTTAACACTTACTTTTAAGTGATCGTTTGTTAATTAGTAGCTTAAAATAGGTAATTATTTGTAGGTTTTACATGTCAACTATTTTTGTACATATACCTTTAACAATTTATCATTATTCCTGGAGGCTGATTTGACCTGTTTGTTTACTTTAGTTACACCTGTGGTGGCTAGAGAGTGAGACATACACAAATATAACACGACCATGGTATACAAAAGCAACCATGTTTCCTTTTAAACTGTGGCTGCCAGGTACAATCTTTAGTAAAGCAGAAAAGAGGGTTTATGTAGCACAGGGAACAGAAAACATATCAGAAGCTGATATTAATTCAAAGGTATTTTGTTTTGTTTTTGATTAATAACATGTTCGGTAATTAGAAACTTAAAGTAACCCTGTTATGCCAAGTGGTTGATATTATTGACTTCAGGCATCTTGCCCCTCACAGGCAAAATTCTTGAAAAAGATTAGTTTTCCCAAATAAAGAAACGAAACTAGGTAAATTAAAGAAGTGGCCATGTGGTCTGAGTACCAAAATTTGTTGAAGGTCTTTCTAAAAACATTACCTTAAAGGCACATTGTGCCTCAGAAATGAATATTTTTTTCCCATATAAGAAAGGGCAAACATCAATTATATAACATTTATATAATGGTTTTAGCATATGCTGGGTGCTTATCACCTGAAGAAATTAGCACTGAATGTTAAATTGTTTGTCTTAAAAGTAGCAAACTATTTTGACTTTCATACAAAATACTTTTATATACTAAACTGTACTAATTCCTGAAAAGCAACAGAAGCAAAATGTAGTTCAGGTAATTGGCCAATTAGTAGCTTTTTGGAAACTATATGACACTAAAAAAAGCGTTTGAGAAATAAAAGTAAAATCATATGAGCCGTGCCATGACAAAACCAACATAGTGCGTTTGCGACCAGCATGGATCCAGACCAGCCTGCGCATCCATGTAGTCTGATCAGGATCCATGATGTTCTCTATCAGTTTCTCTACTCTACTTGTAATCGGGTTTGAAAGTGAACAGCATGAATCCTGCGCAGGCTGGTCTGGATCCATGTTGGTCGCAAACACACTATGATGGTTTTGTCATGGCGCAGCTCATAATAGCCTTTATTTAACAATTGCCACAAGGTCTAAAAAGTGTTGTTTAGCCCTCAGTTCAGTAAAATGTCTGAATATTATTGATGTGACCATTTACAGAAATCATTTGGTTTGATCGTCATCAATCACACACATTGTGAATATATTACATTTATTTTATGTATTGCAAAACTTCTATCATTGTGTGTTTTAGAACTAAATAAAATCAAAGAAGACTATTTGTTCAAGACAAAAAGGACAAAAACTAACATGTTCATGTTGTAGTGTTTTTATTGATACTTTGACACAACATATTTTCATTTCTGTAAAGAATTTACTGCTGTTATACTGTAAATACTACACTAGTATATCTTAATAAGACATCTATGTTGCACTTGTAATTTAATTACAGGGCATTTTTTGTTGTTGTCATTTCAGATTTATAATGATGCTAAAGTTTGTTTAACTCAACTATCAGCCAAACTAGGAGATAAAGAATACTTTTTTGGAAATTTGTAAGTGATCCTATCTCCTTATTTTGTATTGCCAAAGTTATAGGCATTATTTTAAGTTAACTGTTGTAGTATTTATTTTTTCTGGAATAAAGCAACTTGATATATCTATGGCTAAACAAATGTTAATATTGAACATGCTATCCAGTGTTCCAGTTAAAAAAGCAAAGCTTCTTTAGCTGTCAGATATTACTTATTTGTTTAAAATTAAATTTAAGTTATTTTATATGACATGTCAAGTAATCAAAAAATTCCATGAACTTTCAAATGTATGGACCAGATTTAATATAAAGTCTTTGGAACACTAAATTTTTCTGATTGTTGAATGAATAAAACAAATTTCCATTATTATGTTACATATATCTGAAGCAATTACAAAACCAATTGAAATGGATATTTACTAAAGCAATTCAGCTACAAACTCCATGTTAGAAATTCAGTCAAGGACAATATAACATTTTTCACGTGTTTCAGGCCATCATCATTGGATGCTCTTGTGTTTGGATACCTGGCTCCGTTACTAAATGCTCCCCTGACTATGAACCAGTTGACCACTCATCTACGTACGAATTGTGATAATTTATGTATACTATGCACCAGGATATTAAGAGAATTTTTTCCCATGACACCTCAAGGTATGTGTAATATAGTTTTACATAAAGAGTATAAGGACTGGTCAGTAATTTTGTACATGATTATAGTCAGCACAGTTGTGGGTGTGTCCCTGGATGATAGATTAGGGTCATTGACTTCAAACTACTGCCCCTTATCACTGTTAGTTAATATTCCACGAGGAACTTCAAATTCATTCATGTGAGGTAACTATTCAGCTTACTTTTGGAATGTCTTTGGTTCTACTCTGGTGCCTGAAATATAATGCACTTAGGGGCACCTGAGGTCTTCTCCACCAATAGGCTTTAGGCTGGATATATGCGATATGACCGTATATGCAAAAAAGAGAATTAATATTAATGTCTAAACACTGATCAGCTAAAAATAAATATTTATGAAGTTAGATATATGGAAAAAAATCTCAATGCAGAAATGTTAATATAAAAAATATTTTATTTCATAATTTGTTTTATCCAGTAATAGTTTAAGATTTCAAGTAGAATAATCAAACAAACAGACATATTTATAATTATGTTGTCAAACTCCTTAATTACAAAAACAAGCCTTTTTAGGTCCACTTTTCTTAGAAAATGTGTAGCTGTTTTCATAATCTACTTACCGGCACTTGGTAAGGGTATTGGTCCTTTTATTTGTTAATCTTTGTGGTTAAGTTTTCATTTATTGTTATCAACTATAGTACTTGAACAATGCTATTACCAGTTTTCTATCCACTGTTTACTGAGAAAAGTGAAGGGAACTGCTCTTGGAACAGCTCTTGTTTAGAAAGGGGGTTCAGATTATGATTGTACATTTATGTAGTAATGGTGAAGTCTGGTTGACGATTTTCTTTATTATTTTCACCTATAAACAGAAGCTGAACAAAAAGAAGAGGAAAGAAAGAAGCAGACTGAGTCTAACAATAATGAGTTTCCAAACAGGAAGAGGAACATGATACTGGCTGGGGTATTTGCTGCAACAACCATGGTCACTTATGCATTTATGAGTGGACTTATACGCTTCGAAGTTATAGATGATGATGATCCATTAAGTTAAATGAGGAATAAATTAAACATTTATTTGTGGACCCTTTGGGTGAAATTGTGGAAATATAGGGAGTTATTTTGATAAGTTGTTATACATATTTAAGGATCATCTTTCAACTATACTATTATTTATGATTTTTCAACAGATGAAATATGGAATCATTTATGATTCTTGTTTAAGCGTCAGTGTTTGGTACTATCAAGTTATCTCTGTCTAGATAAAATAAAAGTGAAAAAGATATAAATATTGTTATAGTTACAATAGCTTGTGTTAATTTTTGTCATCCTTGTTGTGAATGTGTACAGATGTATACTTCAAACATAACTTTTGTTTAAACCAGTTAATTTACTGTGAAAACTTATTACTTTTATCGGCTAAAATATTCAGCCTGCAGAATATGATCACTGCATGAATGTACATTAGATCCCAGCCTGTGTCAGAAATATATATGGGATTTACCATAGAAAATTGAAATACTGTATTGAATGGAACCATGAATGTCTATCTCCATTATATTGATTTGAGATTATTTTCCATCAACATTTTGTATGCAATATTACATTACCAAAGATAATACTTTAACCTTTGAATGCTATTAGTGATAAAAGATGCTTTTCACATAGCAGTTATTACCTCCCCTGGCCACCAATTTGGGGGTCATACCCTTAAGTTTTAAAGATAAGGTAAAAAATCTGTCATAATTCTATGACTTTCATGAAAACTGATATAAATATTTTACATACCGGTGCTATGATAATATTTTGCTGCATATGTATAAAATAATTCGACAATTAATGTAAAATGGCTGTTTATATTGATTTTTTCATAGTTTGTCAATTACATGTATATAGAATATTAATATTGGACCCCCCATACAAATGGGTGCCACTTTTGGCGAGGGAGGTAAATATTGTAAAAATGGGGAACTATCTATAGATCTGAGGTAATTAGGCTAGACTGTTGGGAAATGCTTTCTAACTGTAGGATATGTTGATAGTGAAATCACAGAAAATATGAATGCACACTTCCAGACTACATGTTTATACATGACAAAGTATTAAGACATTTAGTAAGGCATGGATAAATGTTACAGGTTGTTAATAAAAAAACTTTTAACATTTTTATAAAAATATCTTTCTGAAGCTTTTTACAAACTAAATGTAAAAAAGTCTTTTAAAATGTACATCTTTATATCTTGATAAATTTTGTGTGGAAAATAAAAAAGCAATTAAAATGTAAATATTTGCTAAATGGCTTCATTATTTAGCTCATATTGCTTTGTTGTATTAAATGCTTTTACCTTTATTTAAAGTTATTATCTTGATGAGAGAATGTATGTAGTTCTACTCCAGTACCAGCTGGTGCCTAAAACAATTTGTGGGGTAGCAAATGAGGTCTTCCTTCACCTGTGAAGCAGAAGCATTTCCATGCCACAAAACTCAATTTTAAAGTCAGTTTTATTGCATTTGTTATCATTTACATATTTTCAAATTGTTATTTTCAGATATTTTCTATATGAACTTGTATGATAAAAATAAGATTTTTCAGACCTTTCAGAGGCTTTATGCGACCAAAATATACAGGTCTAGTCTGCATGAACATGTCATATTCTTTTCTGCTTATTAGAATAATCTGGATTTTGATATTGTCTAAAAATCTATGTTTTCAATTGCTTTGAAGAGATGTATTTTATGAGTTTTTTACTGTATTTGTTGTAAAACATTGGGAACATTCTGGCACATGTATTTTAGTGATAGTAAGATTATTTTTTCTGTCATCAAATGACTTTAAAACTGGTTTTCTGTTGTTTTTTTTTATTGGATACATGTATATGAACAATAAATTGATTGATAATTTGACATAACTAGTCTTCACAACTTTTATTGCTGTGGTATCATAAAACAATAAAACACTTGTGGATTCAAGATCAAAATTCTAACATGTGTAATATAATTAAACCAACCAAATTTATAACCTATCTGTACCGATCGGTAATTTTCAGATATCTGCCATCACTGCAGTGATCTGCCATCACTGCCGCCGGTAATACGGTGTGATTAGGTGATTCTGATTGTCTATACTGTATCCCAAGTCACGGATATTAAAATTATGTATTGAACGGCGCATGGTCACGACACGAGAATCTATCCCTTTTCTGTATGTTTGCATACATGTGCGTGTATCTTTTTTATACATGCCTATCAAATACACTCATATTGTTTACTGCACTGTGTCTCTCCAATTTCCGTTTTCGAGGATGACAAGACTTTTTGCCGGCCAGAATTCATTATATGCGTACTGCATGTTATAGGTTTATTTATATTTTAAGTTTCTATATACGTTCTATAAAAAGGTCGTATCTACCATTTACGCCCCATGTTCACAGTAACATGAAATAAACTGCCTCAATATTAAAAGGACGTATCTGCCAGATAGGGCCTTATTGTATCTGTAAGACTGCAGTTACGACCTTATATGATTATGCTTCAGATCCAAAATGCACAAACGACCTTTAATTATTGATGTTATCTGGCTTAAATATTATGTCTAGGGGGCTGGGGACGCCTGCAGGACAGGGTGGACCGTGAGACTAGGCGGACCATATATCGGGACAGGGCGGACCGTCACTCGAGACGAGGCGGACCGTAATTTAAAAAAGTATTTATATGTGGACTAATGTAATAAAAGTATTAAATTATTGATGTTTTTGTTCTTCGTTTTAATATTTCAATGCATATATAAAAGTAAAAATATAAAATAAATTTTAAAAGTTCATGTGTAATTGAATATTAATTTGCTGAATGGACGATGTCACTCGAGACGAAAGTATTTAATTGTGGATGATTTTGGTATTCTTTATAATATTTCAATCTAAACCTTTCTATGTAACATATGAAACATATATATACTGAACCAAAAAAAAGGAAACTTTCGCAAAGTATCATGTGCCAGTTGTCAAGGGTACCACATAGATGTACACACTTGTATATATGTAGTAGCTCGTAAAACTCATTTTGTTTGCAAAATCGGTCAGCTAATCCCCGTTTAAAAGCCCGAAATGTTTATTCAACGTAAAAATCGAGTTTCAAAAGGATTGAAAAACTGTACTAACATATGGGTAATTGAATATGTAATTGAATGGGTAATTAAATATGGCGGACAGTGGTTGCGTTTTTTCAAATCTGTTGAAGTAAAATTGGAAATTTTAGGCTAAATTGTACTCAAAGTGTTTAAAAACTGTTTGTAAGGATTATATTGGAATTTTATAGTGACCTGAAAGGATTATGAATTAAATATTGTGTGAAAATGGAGTTAAATTCAGTTTTTTCAGTACCCGTACATAACAATTTTGAAATACTGAGTGAGCGGGAAAGTGTGAATGAGATTGAAAACAGTAAAAAAGATATGAGAACCGACAGAAACAAGTTTATGAAATCTTCTATTGATGAAAAACTGTTGTTAATGTTCGATGAAATGAGATTTATCCGAGACGAACAAGTAGCCTGTAGCTTAGGAATAGTAAATTTTCAAAAAGACTTTAGTTCAGGTGAAAGAAAAAGTTGGCCAGGTAGTAAATGTTACTAACGCCCAGACAGCCTTACTGAAAACCTTGGCATATAAATCGATAGACGTGGAAGCCAGATCGAGAAGAAATAACCTAGTATTCCGTGGATTTCCCGAAAATAGAGGTGAAAATTGCAAATTTATCATCAAAGATTTACTGCAAAACAGGTTAGATATTTATGATACAGACATATATATTGCACGAGCGCATAGACTTGGTTCACGTGCACCAGGCAGAAACTTTAACAAGAGACCAATTATAGTTAACTTTCGAGACTATGGTGATGTTGAACTGATAATGAGCCGAGTTAACAGGCTAAGAGATGTCCCTGGTATTTCGGTTGATTTTGATTACCCGAAAGAAATACAAAACGCAAGATCAAGGCTTTGGCCAAAGTATAAAAATTACAGAATTTCGAATCCACATTCTAAAGTAAACGTTGTGTATCCGGCAAAGATAGTCGCTGATGGGAGGGTGATACATGACGAATTTCCAGATTGGAATTTCTACATGCGTAACGATAGATTACAAGATATTGGCTTTATCAGCAACCATGGACAAAGCTCTACTCCCCAAAATGAAGAGGAAATAATCAGCAACAAAGCTAAACCAGACAACAGGGCATCAAACTATGGGCCAATATCATCACCAATGGAAACTGAAATACACCAGCCAGACTCGACCCGAAGAGTTCCGCAGATGGACACAGATCCAAACACATTTCAAAGACAATTACCAAGTAACATGTCACATTTATCGGACTTATTAAATACGAGTGAACTTAATCAAAATCATGGAAAATCTATTCAAACTCAAACGAAAAATAAACATTCGTGTACTACAAATCAATCTGAGGATGCAACATACATTCCCGAAAAATCACAAAATGGGAAACGCCTATTTCAGAAATAGCTGTTCTAACAAGTACTAGCTTACAATTATTGGCAGAAAATGATAGTAACAATGAGCAACTTACCTTGAATGCAACTTCAAAGTTATCCCAAGAAGGTTCACTTAATCGAAATGCAGATTATCCAGCTACATCCCAACGAAACATCACTGCACAAATATAAACACAAATGAAAATAGCCAAAATCCAAACATGAATGACATGACCCAAATTTCGTCCTCGAATATAAATACACAAAAAGTAACTACACATTTATCACGTGCAAACAACCGTAGCGTTAAGAGGTCACAATCGTCAAACCATACAATCGTAGTGAATCACGTGGGTAGGAACAGGACTTCCCCAGTTACTATAAATAGGCCGCTCGCGTATACCTGGAGGAGTGGAGGTTAAAAGCTAGGACGATTGGAGAAGGTTTGTTCGATTAGATGTGCCCTGATGAACATACAAGACTAGTCACAAAACGCACAAAAACAAGTTAAATACTGATTTTTTTGAACAATGTTTTCGAAAATAATGATATTGTATTATTTACTGAAACATGGACGAATGAATTTTCAAGTTTAGATAAAGACAATTTTTGAACATTTTGTGTTGCATAGAAAATTAGTTAAAAGTAACAGTAAAAGAAATTCAGGGGGGATTATCATATATGTACGAAATGATCTTGTTTCAGATGACACGTTATTTATATTAGTCAGGACGATATACTTTGGGTTAAGTTATCGTCTGTAAAATTAAACATTAGTAAAGATGTATATATAGGATTATGTTATGTATTGCCTGATGGAAGCAGCCGACAATCTTTAGTTGAAAATAATATTTTTGATAGACTCATTGACTCTATATTACATGTTTGAAAGTAAATCAAACAGCGATAGTTACTATTTCTTGTTGGGTGATTATAACGCACGAACTTCTACTCTTTCTGATTATGTAGCAAATGACAATGTTGATTTAGAACGTATAAATGTATTGCCCGATGATTATACTTGTGACAATGAAATACCAAGGAGATCACAAGATCATGGTCACGTGAATAATAATGGCTTATTATTGTTAGATTTTTGTAGGCAAACCGGTTTGAGAATTATGAATGGTAGGCTAGAAATGATTGCGACATAGGTAAATACACATTCGTTAACAATCAGGGTTGTAGTGTTATTGACTATATATTATGTAAACAAGAATTATTTAAGTATGTTGATAGTTTTGATATTGATTGCCCGAATATATTATCAGATCACTGTCTTGTGTCATGTACTTTGAAGATTGATAAAGTTGAAAATGTATCAATAAATGAGCCATATGAACAAAAGGAAACAATTAATTGTAAATATGTTTGGGATTCGGATAGGAAAGTGCAGTTTTTAGAAAAATTAAAAAATAGTGAGATTGAGCATAAACTTGAACATCTATCAAATGAAATATCATCATGTATGTCTCATGAAAACATAGATTTATGCGTGAGTGATTTTTTCAAAAGGTTATCAATGAAGTGGCAACGCCTTCATGTATAAAATATTTAAATGTTAGTAATAATGAAAATATAATTAGTAGGTCAGAAAATAATCATCCCTGGTATAAATGATGACTGTTATGAGAAAAAACAGATATTTTTAAACATGCTGAATATTTTTTCGCCAAATGCCGACAGACAGTAATAGAGTAAATATGGTGTCTGCTAGAACAGAATATAAGAAAGTGTTACGGAAATGTAGATTTGATTTTGATCATGAAAATACTTCAAAAACTGTTACAAGCTAAAAGTAAAAAATGCAAAAATTTACTGTCTATGTTAAAGGGTTTAGCAGGTGTAAAACAATCAAATATACCATTATCAGAATTTGAAAAATATTTTAAGGCGGTTAACAATCCGGATGGCAATTTTTTCAGTCCGGATGAAGATGTACTCTTATTTCAATGAGAGATACGAGAATCATGAGTTTAATGTTATGTTTAATGAACTTAATAATATGATATCTGTTGACGAAATAATAAATGCCATTAAACAATTGAAAAGTAATCGATCTGTGGACCAGACTTAATATTAAATGAATTTTTCACGGCAGGAAAAGATGTTCTTATACCTGTTTTGCATAAACTTTTTAATAAAATTTTTTTGAAATCCGTTATTTTCCAGAAAAAATGGTCTGATGGCTATGTAATACCATTGCATAAAAAAGTAATATAAATAATGTCGAAAATTATCGTGGGGTGACACTTCTTAGTTGTTTTAGGAAAGCTTTTTACACGTATTATAAAATAATAGATTTAAAATCATGGGCAGAAAATTACAATGTATACATAGAAGCTCAGGCGGGTTTTAGGTCAAACATGAGTACCATTGATAATGTTTTTGTATTAAATGGACTTATAAATCATTTTTTTAAATCAAGGTAAACAGCTTTTCACTGTGTTTGTAGATTTTACGAAAGCATTGACTACATAGTTAGGGACAATTTGTGGTATAAATTGTACAATTAGGTCTTAGAGGTAATATTTTAGATATCATTAAATCAATGTATGAGTCTGTAAAATCACGTGTTAAATATCTAAATAATCTTAGTGAAGAATATACATGTATGCTTGGGTGTAAGACAAGGTGAGTGTTTATCTCCCTTGCTCTTCACTCTATTCATAAATGATTTAGAAGATACGTTATACATAGAGGTTCAGATGGTATAGATATAGATATGTTTAAAATTTTCCTTCTGTTGTATGCAGATGATATTGTTCTTTTTGGAAATTCTCCTGAAGATTACAGCATAGTTTGAATGTTTTAAATGATTATTGTAAACACTTGGAAATTAAAAGTAAAACATATCAAAAACAAAGGTAATGATTTTTAGGAAAAGGTGGACGTTTACCAAGTGATCTTTGTTTTATTATAATGGTGAAATACTTGACATAGTTAACAAATTCTCATACTTAGGTGTAGTGTTCACTTGTGGTGGGTCTTTAAGCACAGCTCAAAGCACCCTGGCGGGCCAAGCTCAGAAAGCAGTTTTAAGTTAAACAAATACTTATATAAAAATTTACTTACATACCACCTCGACATAAACTCGATTTATTTGATAAATTAGTTATGCCAATTTTAAATTATAGTAGTGAAATATTAGGTTTACTAATGATATGTCAATAGAAAGAGTTAATTTGCAATTCTGTAAAAGTATTCTTGGTGTGGTGAAAAAAACAACCCAAAATGATTTCGTTTATGGAGAACTGGGTAGAACCTCTTTACAAGTTATTCATCATATGAACATTGTTAAATACTGGTAAAGATATTAAGAACACGCGAAAATAAGTATATTTATTTGATCTATAACATGTTAAAAATTAGATTTTGAACGAGATGAGCGTAAGGTAAACTGGTGTTCAATGTTAAAAATTTATTATGTTCTCTTGGTTTTTATGATGCTTGGTTAGAGCAAAAATGTTGGTGATGTTGAATTATTTTTATCTTCAGTTAAACAAAGATTAACAGATCAATTTATTCAAAACTGGCATAGTAGACTAAATGTTTCAAGCAGAGCATTATTTTACAGAAACATAGCATTCTTTCCAAAGTCAGCCATATCTTGAATGTTTTTCAATGAATAAATTTTGCCAAGCATTATCTAGATTGCGTGTTTCATCACACAGGTTACAAATTGAGTCAGGTAGATGGGCACGTCCAGTAAGAATTGAAATAAATGAAAGGAAATGTAACTTATGTGGTTATTGGAGGATGAATTTCATTTTGTAATTGAATGCTATCTTTACAATGATTTAAGGAAAAAGTATATACCAAGATACTATTGGAATAGACCAAATATGTTTAAGTTTTTAGAATTGATTAAATCTGATAACAAAACTGTAATTAGAAATTTAGGAATATATGTATACAACGCTTTTGCTATTAGAAATAACATTATGTACGGGCAATGATACATGTAAAATAATGTATATATCTCAGCATTTTTCTTCTTCTCTTCTTTTGGTTGCCACAGCACAGTGGAAATATTACTCCTTTCAAGATATAAAATTCAATACTAAAAGTTTCAAAGAGAAAAGAATAAAAAAATTAATGATATTTTGAATCAATCTACAGTTATTTTGATGATGATGTTTCACGAATAGCCAATGAGTTGACCTTTTCTCTTTTGTTTTCGATTTCGATAAAGGTTGACTAAAAATTGGAGTACTATTCCCATGATTGCATATATATTATAATGTATTGTATTGAATAATTGTTTCTCCTCTATTGGAGAAGTTATTTTAAGGTTGAGTTTCAACCTTCTCCTATATTTCAAATATTTGAAAAAGAGATGTATTATTATCATTATCATGCATTACTCTGTCATGTCATATATATTATGTTTGTAATATGTTGTCCTCATGGGCTTATAAGCCTATTGGAAATGAAATAAATAAATCTAAAAATCATATCTACATTCAAACTTGGAGAGAGTTTCTTTTTTGTTTCAGTATATTAGAGTAGTTTAAAAAAAATTTCTCAAGAAATTATTTGTAACTGCGTCGACTTACGCAAGTGATAATTGACCAATTATCGGGATATAACAATGTTATTGTTTGTATAAGGCGCTAACGCTGCTAAAATTGATAAACTTTATTAAACAATTAGACACATAAAAAAAAATATTTTGTTGTACAATACACGAAATAACAATAATAACGAATAACATCACATTAAAATTATTTGCAATTCAACACAATAACAAAAAAATGAAGTGAATTATTTGAAAAACAAAACTATCTTATTAAAATTTTAATAATAAGCACAGACACATGAAATAAAATGAACACTGAAATAGAATTTATTAAACAATAAGACACATCAAAGAACTTTTAAAACTTACTGTATTTTATATTTTTAATTGAATATTTGAATTGAAATATCAATACGAAGAACAAAAACATCAATAATTACATTAGTCCACATATAAATACTTTTTTAAATCACGGCCCGCCTCGTCTCGAGTGACGGTCCGCCCTGTCCAAAAATACGGTCCGCCTAGTCTCGAGTCACGGTCCGCCCTGGTACGGTCCGCCCTGTCTCACGGTCCGCCCTGTCCGTAATTCATATGATAAATATTCCCATACTCCTTTAAAGATTGAAAGCATGCTTACTGACGAAATCAGCGAAGCCATCTGATCAATAATTGTCTGCACTGTTTGCTATTCAGTAAATTCATTGCATGTTTTGTAATTTTCCCTAATAATGAATGGTTTTGTCCCGCCTGAAAGATGGACAAGTCCATTAAAGATATTCAGGGTGGTAAAGGTTAAACACCACAGAGTTCAAAACCAAATATTTATTTTCCATGTTTTCCTATGGCAAAAAAGGGGTATGTAAATTTAGTCATGGATATGATGATATGATTTACTTTAAAGCCACTAAACATGGTGGTTTGAGCTTATACATTTATATCAGGGTACATAAAGATTTTTTATTCCCTGATTTATATGGAACTGGATGATTAAAATATGTCTTGTTTAAACAAAAAATCATCTTGGTAAAGTATTTGCACTGCTGTAATTTTTAACTGTGGCAATGTTTTATTTTGTCAACTTTGACTTAAATTAGAATCCTGTATAAACATACCTGTTAACTGATTGCAAATAGAACAGTTAGTTGCAATAGAAGTGTTGTGCACCAGGTAGGTTTTTTACAGTATATCGTAGGAAGCTGTGTCTATAAAAGTTCACAAAAACAAAGAGCATATAATGTAAATCGGGTTTAAAACTGGCATTTATCTAGTTCTACCTGCAGCCAGCTGTTCTGTTAGTATATCTTTCTCAAGTGAAAAATTACAACTGTTAGGTCACATTTATCTCACAGAAACTGCAAATTTAATTTCTATGCATATTGATAAAGTTCTGTAAACAAACATGTTGATATTTTTACACTAGTTATGTGAAGGCGAGTACCTTTGAAATGGAAATGACTATGCTTGATGGCAGTTCTGGTACGTTTTTAAATAAATAGAACAATATTTTGTGTTTAGTACCTTACATCCTTCCTAAGGGAGTCGCTTACTGAAGGGAGTAACTTAGTGATGCTCAGCCTTGTAATAAAAATTTGGGATTGTAAGACCTCGCTCAGCGCATGCGTCGTGCCACTTAATTCAGCAAGCATGGCCGACAACGTGGAAAACAAACTGGAAAAGATGGATATATCTGAGAAGAAAAAGGCATGACGCATTTATTTTAATTAAAGCTTAACATGCTGTCAAGATTTTCTTTTTCCTCTCTTCGCAGCCGACTCGGAACAACTGTCAGTCGATTCAGTAGTCGGGTGTGTGATAAATAATTTATTTTGACAGTTGTCTTCTTGAGTCTTGACTAATTTTTACACATTCCACAAATGTGTATTATACTTATAGAAAGATACTCGTTCCTATCATTAATAAATGATTATGTCATTATATGTAATGAGATCCACCCTACTCAGAATCTTGACAAGATAATAAAAACAACTACACGCAAACACACCCGGATTATTTGCGTCATCTATTGATGTGACTTGTGATTGCATCATCCAAATTTAAGCAAATTGATTGATTATGTATTGATATACCTAACGTCTGTAGAGGATAGAATATGGAGGATATATTCTTGGTAAATCATTTATTAAACAAATTGAAGTTTTTAGCATAATGGAATTCCAAAATTTGATATTAAAAACATACAAGTGAAACTGAAAGTAGACCTTATATGAACAGGGAAGTTGGTTTATAAAAAAAAATTGTTCATTGTTCCGTTTTAACCCATTACTTCATGAGCATTTTGTGAAAAATGGCTGTTTTCATTGAAAAGTCTCCCGTTACAAGTTCAAATTGCTATGATACTATTAAAACTGCTTCAACACTAATCAAACTTGGCACAAATGTTGACTGGACCATTGCCCTTGCAACAACATGCTCAGGCTTAAATTTTCTGTTACCATGGCAACGAGGGGACATCTCAAAATTGCCAAAAATCACTATTTTGCGTTGATTTTTTCAATCAAAATTGATTTCAAAGTGCTACAATTTCTCAATGGATTGAGATAGAGTCAAATGCTTTTCAGCGTTGGTTACACGTTACCTTATGATCAATCTGGGGTCATTTACAGCCTCTCACAAGTCCAAAATTTTCTTGGCGATGAGGGGGACTCCGCCTCCCTTCAAACCCCCCAAACATAAGGGGGCACATCCCCCTTCTGGCAACCCCCTGATGTATCTTTTGGTTGGGGGGCCCCGCCGAAAAACAGGTCACTTTTTTTAACAACATTTCTCAAACAAAAACAAGTGTTTGGGGCCTAAATAAGGCATTTTTTCATCATTTGAGACAACAAAAAAGGGGGGGGGGGTGAAAAAGGCGTGTATATGAAGTAATGGGTTAACAGAAAATGATGAAAATACTTGAAATTACCCTAAATCGCGTTTTTTCATGTTTTAACATGGCCTGTCATATAAATTTGAAGAAAAATTGTTTTGTAGATTTTTTGATTTTTTTCATTAACCCATTACTTCATGAGCATTTTGTGAAAAATGGCTGTTTTCATTGAAAAGTCTCCCGTTACAAGTTCAAATTGCTATGATACTATTAAAACTGCTTCAACACTAATCAAACTTGGCACAAATGTTGACTGGACCATTGCCCTTGCAACAACATGCTCAGACTTAAATTTTCTGTTACCATGGCAATGAGGGGACATCTCAAAATTGCAAAAAATCACTATTTTGCGTTGATTTTTTCCATCAAAATTGATTTCAAAGTGCTATAATTTCTCAATGGATTGAGATAGAGTCAAATGCTTTTCAGCGTTGGTTACACGTTACCTTATGATCAATCTGGGGTCATTTACAGCCTCTCACAAGTCCAAAATTTTCTTGGCGATGAGGGGGACTCCGCCCCCCTTCAAACCCCCCAAACATAAGGGGGCACATCCCCCTTCTGGCAACCCCCTGATGTATCTTTTGGTTGGGGGGCCGCGCCGAAAAACAGGTCACTTTTTTTTAACAACATTTCTCAAACAAAAACAAGTGTTTGGGGCCTAAATAAGGCATTTTTTCATCATTTGAGACAACAAAAAAGGGGGGGGGGTGAAAAAGGCGTTAAAAGGCGTGTATATGAAGTAATGGGTTAAAGGTGTCATTCGTTATTTCATGCACTGCTTCTGCTTTCACTTGACACTCTGAACAATCATTATTATTATTAATCTGAAAAGTTGTGATTTTTCCTTATCGGAATACCCTGCCTAATTATTATTCTTGAGTAACATTGAAAATGTGGCTATATCCTGGATTAGACCCCGGGGTCTAAACCAGGAGTATATATAAGGTTCATTCTGTTTTCTTTAGTGTACTATATACAAGTTTTAGACCTGAAAAATACATAGGGGTCAGATTGCCAAAAATGTATGCGCCTGACTAGAACTGACACGGAAAATTTCATTGATAGATATGGAATTCTTTATATTTTATTCTATATTCCCTAACAATTTGAATATGATTGCTTTAAAATAGTATTTTGTTGTAAAACAGAGAATAAAATGAACATCAATTTCCAATGCAAACTAAAGCGATAAATAAAATATTTACGATTACTAGTAACATCAATTCACACGTGAGGTGACTACGCTGGGGGTCACCTGACTCACCTCACGTGACACTATTTGATTAAAATTGAAGTGAACTATGGAGAGATTCAGTTTGGTTTGTTGTCTGTTTTCGAATAAAAAATCTCATTTATAATTGTTATTAATAAGTTATGATAAAAAAATTCAAATTTGTAACTTTCAATTGGGGATATTTTCCTGTGGATTGGGAAAATAATACACTTTTTCAAATTGGAATATGACTCAATAACGGCTATAAAATAACCAAAAAAAAATCCCTGAAAACCCAACCAAGAAAAAAAAGAAAGCTTTCAAAGAACCAGGTGTTAGATTTATATACTATTCCAGAAACTATTATCAGGAATTACCGAATAGTACAACATTGAGTTTTGAAGTCTAAGATGTGTAGTGATAAATAATGCACAGAATGTTTTCCAAAAAAAAAAAGTATAATAGTGTTTTATTGCTCTTGTTTTTTTTCAGTCACAGAAAGGGAAGAAAGCTAAAGCAGAGGCTGCTGGTGATCAGGTTGATAAACTAAAACCGGTAAGCTGTTTATATAGTTACATTAGTTCGCTTTCTGAGTTAAACCTTCTCTTGATCTTAAAGACAAAATGCACAGTATTAAGTTGAACAGCATTAAGCAGTCAGTGGTTCTATGGAACCATGGTACTAAATGTTAAACTGGGTAGAAATTAATATTAAAATCAGACATAAGTTAGAATATTACCTATTTAATAGATGGTTATTTTCAAATGATAGTTATGGAAACCTGACCCACTTTGTTTCGTGTGTTTCACTTTCCTTATTCTTTTTGTGCCCCCACGTTAGTGGCGGGCATTTAGATTTACCCTTGTCCGTCCGTCCGTCCGTCCTTCCGTCCGTCCTTCCGTCCGTCCGTTCACTTTTGTGTCGCACGTAACTCAAAAAGTATTTGACCTAGAGTCATGAAACTTTACAGGAATGTTGATCAGCATGTGTAGTTGTGCACCTGGGTATTTTCATCTGGATATTTTTAGTATTTTCAGAGTTATTGCCCTTGACTTAGTAAAATTTTGCAATTTTCAACTTGTGTCGCACGTAACTCAAAAAGTATTTGACCTAGAGTCATGAAACTTTACAGGAATGTTGATCAGCATGTGTAGTTGTGCACCTGGGTATTTTCGTCTGGATATTTTTAGTTTTTTCAGAGTTATTGCCCTTGACTTAGTAAAATTTTGCAATTTTCAACTTGTGTCGCAAGTAACTCAAAAAGTATTTCACCTAGAGTCATGAAACTTTACAGGAATGTTGATCAGCATGTGTAGTTGTGCACCTGGGTATTTTCGTCTGGATATTTTTAGTATTTTCAGAGTTATTGCCCTTGACTTAGTAAAATTTTGAAATTTTCAACTTGTGTCGCAAGTAACTCAAAAAGTATTTGACCTAGAGTCATGAAACTTTACAGGAATGTTGATCAGCATGTGTAGTTGTGCACCTGGGTATCTTCGTCTGGATATTTTTAGTATTTTCAGAGTTATTGTCCTTGAGTTAGTAAAATTTGGCAATTTTCAACATGTGTCGCACGTAACTCAAAAAGTATTTGACCTAGAGTCATGAAACTTTACAGGAATGTTGATCAGCATGTGTAGTTGTGCACCTGGGTATTTTCGTCTGGATATTTTTAGTATTTTCAGAGTTATTGCCCTTGAGTTAGTAAAATTTTGCAATTTTCAACATGTGTCACACGTAACTCAAAAAGTATTTAACCTAGAGTCATGTAACTTTACAGGAATATTGATCAGCATGTGCAGTTGTGTACCAGGTATTTTCGTCTGGATTTATATAGTATTTTTAGAGTTATTGCCCTTCACTTAGAAAATTTTTGCAATTTTCAACTTAAGTCGCAAGTTTCTCAAAAAGGATTTGACATAGTCATTAAACCTTATGGGCAGGTTGCTCAGCATATTTTAGATTTGCACCTGGGGTTTCGCTTGTGGATTTATCCAGTATTTGTAGAGTTATTTCCCTTGACTTAGTAAAAAGATTGACAGAACAGTGGCGCAGTGGGGGCACCCGTGTCCTATGGACACATTTCTAGTTATTAGTCAAATGATAGTTGTACAAAATACTTTTGCTACTTTCAGCCACTGTATCATTCTTGCTAGCTTTATATATTTTAACTTGAACCTTTCTTGTGAACATGGTACTTGTTACATTGTAATTGGCCTATTTGATACTTTAATAGAGTTTCTGGCCTATATAAAGTTTGATTGTATTTAGATGGATCCCCCACCAGAATTTCTTGCATCAAGACAAGTATTATGGGATAAATTAAAAAAGGAATATGATGACTGGGTGGCAGCACAGGAACGTAAACCAATCAATGTGACACTGCCTGATGGGAAGGTTGTTGAGGGCAAGGCATGGGAGACTACTCCATATGATGTTGCTAAAGGTATCAGGTAAGTGTTTATGTCAGTGGATCTCTATCCACTAAACTGCTGCTCTCATTTATGTTAAATTTTCTGAAAATTGAGACAATCAAATTGAGACAATCTTGACATTTGTACAAATTTGTATTCAAAGTATCAACAACTTTTGATTATAATGGAATAAAGTGGATTATTTAGGGATACAGTTTAGTTTGTTGTCTGTTTTCAAATAAAAAAATCTCATTTATAATTGTTGTTTAACAAGTTATGATATAAAGATTCAAAAACCAACACAGTTTATCCAATCACATTATGCTTTATTCAGCTTATTCATTTGACAAGTCAGAAATGCTTTGAACTTTAAAATAAAAAAATATATATCGGATTGTATCTATAAGTAGGTACAGTAATAGAATGATAATAGTCTTGTACAAAATAAAATGTGTTATAAGACAATGTTATAATTTTCAGCCAAGGTTTGGCAGACAACACTGTAATAGCAAAGGTGAACGATGTATTATGGGACCTTGATCGTCCATTAGAACAAGATGCAACATTACAGTTGCTAAAGTTTGATGATAAAGATGGTAAGTCAGGGTTTTTGTGTATGTAAACTTACTTTCTTTAGACTATTGACAGAAAGGAACAAATGGTTGATTTCAAAAGCACATATAAATATTACACATGTGATATTTTCTGAATTTATACATCTCGAGTAAAATGACAATATGCACTTTATTTTATACCTCAGTCCATGATAGGGTATTTGATATTCATGCTTATTTTAAGCATTAAAATGTATGTTTGATTTGGCAAGCTCTTTGATATTGTTACATACATCTTTATAGATGTTATTGTTATAAATGTTACTATTATTTTCCAAATACCAAGCAACTGGTTTCCTTGCGGCTTATTGACTTGTCTTAACCCAGCACCACTAAATTTGTGTGATTATTTGCTTGAACTGACAATTTTTCTGCGTAAAGGATTTTTGTAGAAAAATCTTGAAACAGAAAACCAAAAGGGTGTAGACTTGTCAAACTTTACAGATGCACCATAATTTTTGGATCTATTCCAAGATATGATGGCAATTTTGATTGATCTTTTTTACCTTTGATGATTGCCGAATAATTTAGATGCCTATATATTGCAGGAGAGTATGTATTCTGGCATTCCAGTGCACATATATTAGGTGAGGCCATGGAATGTTTATATGGTGGACATCTTTGTTACGGTCCACCCATAGAGGGCGGTTTCTACTACGACATGTGGTCAAACAGGTACCTTTTCATTTTGTCACATAGTGAAATAATAACTTCTTAAATTAGCATACATGCAAACCTTTTCCTGTAGAGCCTGAAGTTTTAAAGCCATTAAACATATCATTTGTTCTCTGTTGTATGTTCTAAGTGGCCATGTAGCGATATCACATTTGATGTTAATAAAGCATGTTTACATATGGAAAAAATGTTAAATGATTAGTATGACTGATGGATATATGAGGACAGACATACACGGTAAATTTCTGAATGTCAGACACATTTCATACAAGAGGCTAACATTTGATTAAAGAAGTTTGCAAAGCCTGGATAAATTACTTATAAAAAGTAATTTTTGTTATGTTGATAAAATTATTAACATTATAATATATTTGTACACATTTTAAGAGTTTTTGGATGAGATTTTTCTACTGTTAGTATTTTATGTAAAGTAATAAAATGTAGATAATAGATATTATGTTCAATCATTATAGACAGGTATCAAGCAATGATTACCCTGTGATAGAGAATAGAGTAAAACAAATTGTGAAAGATAAGCAACCATTTGAGAGACTTGTTATGACCAAGGAAAATCTTCTAAAGATGTTTGAGGTAAACAAACAATGGTTATATGTAACCAAACTTCTGAAAAAATGAAGTGTTAACCATCATTGAAAAATATGTTAATACCTTCTAGATATTTTAGGAATTAAGATTACTTATTTTAAGTATAGAGTGACTGTTACATATCTGATAATTTGTAGACATGTTTTAAGTTGTTGCTAATATAAGTAATATAAGTAATATAAATATATGAACTTCTAATAAACTGGCAGCGAAACTGTATGTAATCAAAATATAGAAACTCACCAATTTCTTTTATTAAATTGAAAAACCTTTTAACATATCTATTTTTTGTGATATTAAGTGCCCACAAATATATTGAAAATTATATGCTCTTGGTGGGAAAGAACTGATATTCTTAATTTATTAGATACAGTACATGCAAGACTTGGGGCGTCCCTGGTCGAGTGGTTAAGGTTGTTGACTTCAAACCACTTGCCCCTCAACGCAGTGGGTTTGAATCCCGTCAGGGACTTTGGATTCTTTCATGTGAGGAAGCTATCCAGCTAGCTTATGGAACGTCTGTGGTTCTACTCCGGTGCCCATTTGTGCCTGAAATAATGCACGGAAGGGCACCTGAGGTTTTCCTCCACCAGTAAAGCTGGAAAGTCGCCAAATGACCTATACTGTGTCGTTGTGACGTAAAACCCAAACAAACATGCAGGACTTATTTGATTAGTCTGTAAATATTATTTGGTGTTTCTATATGAAATCAATATTGTTTGTCTGCACCTGCAGGTTGGGTTAAACACTGACAAAGATATTAGATGATTTTAATTTTTCAAAAGATTCATCTCTATGCATAGCTTGAATAAATGCTTAACAAGTTAAACAGAAATGTATTATGATATTTATTTTCAGTACAATGAGTTTAAAAAAAGAATCATCACTGAAAAGGTTACCACCCCAACAACTACTGTGTACAAGTAGGTAACTTTATATTTATAATTATTTCATTGATCCCATTAATCAAGATACTGTATAAATATACTAAATTTCACATTATGGCATGAATATTGTTTAATCTAAAAATGAAGTCCAGGGTTAATGAAAATGTGTTTCAGTGTGTATATAATTATACGTATCTTCAAATGCTGTTTTATTTGTTTCATCATTACAATAGTGCACAAGGTCGTTGACTTCAAACTACTTGCCCCTCACCATTGTGGGTTCGAAGCCCAACAGGGACTTTTGATTCTTTCATGTGAGGAAGCTATCTAGCTAGCTTACAGAACGTCGGTGGTTCTACTCGGGTGCCCGCTCTTGCCTGAAATAATGCATGGAAGGGCACCTGAGGTCTTCCTCCACCAGTAAATTTGGAACGTCGCCAAATGACCTATACTGTGTCGATGTGAAGTAAAACCCAATCAAACAAACAATAGTGCACAACTGCTTGTGATTGGTCCGTTTACTGAAACTGATTTTATATATGATGCTATTCAAGTTGTTGGCTTTTATTATCAGGGTTAACTTTGGCCTTTATTGAGGCCAATAATGGACCCCTTTATCCTTTTAAAAAGTATGTTTCTACCTTTACCTTTTGTATTTTAGATGTGGACCTTTGATAGATCTGTGTAGAGGACCTCATGTACGTCATACTGGTAAAATCAAGTCAATGGCTGTCACTAAAGTAAGTTGTCCCGTGTATTGCATGTATTAATATATTGGGGTATAGATCAGTATACATGGTTTTGTTAGTGAAGTTGCTCACTTTCTCTTAATAAATCCTTCCATAAATAGTACTGATGTTATCTATATATCAAAGTGAACTGTGAACGTTAACTTGCACTTTCTTGCATTGTTACTGCATTAGATTTGACTCAAGCCAGGGACTTGGAATTTATACAATTTGAGGAAATTATTATGTTAGGAAATATAAGATTAAATGTTATATTACAGAATTCATCTACATATTGGGAAGGTAAGGCAGATGCCGAGTCTCTTCAGAGAATTTATGGAATCTCATTCCCAGATCCCAAACAGATGAAGGAATGGAAACATTTCCAGGAGGAGGCAGCTAAAAGAAATCATAGAAAAATTGGAGTAGTAAGTTATCCTTATTTTGTCTTGCTTTGAGTGTTAACAAAGTGCCAAAGGCTGGTTTAACATACATATATGTAAGTTTGTGATAAATAATTGGCCAAAGATCAAGTAAGCGTTTTTCAGCTGCAGACTCTAAAGTTGCAAATTACTGTTGTAACATATTGTGCCATCTGAAATCACCATATGACCTTTATATTGTATTTGACTCAAAAGTTAAAAGCCCAACAAAAATGAAAGAAGTAGAGTGGTTAAGATCTGTCTAAGATTGGTGGTTCTACTCCAGTACCTGTTTGTGCCTGAAATAATGCACACAGGGGCACCTGAGGTCTTCCTCACCAGTAAAGCTGCAAAATCGTCATGTGACCTTGACAGAATTTGTTTGATGAAAAATCCAACAAAATCAACTAAAAAATGTTTGCCTTTTTCTATGGCTAGTCAGATTATTATATGTTATTGTTCACATGTAATGATATTGATACACCATCTATCATAATGTTTCACTGTATTTACCTTTAGCCGGCTGGCAGTAACTGAATTTACCCATGTGAACAGTGCAGACAGTAAAAATGTTCTACACTGTATGGTATGCAGTTAGTATTTATTTTAAAACTTTCCATAAAAAAGATGAATGGTTTTGTCCAGATTTCAAGATGGACAAGTTCATTTAAGATAGCATGGTAATGGTTAAACAGACTTGTACATTATATATTGTATATTTCAGGATCAGGAGTTATTCTTCTTCCACGAATTGAGTCCTGGTTCATGTTTCTTTTTGCCACGTGGAGCACATATATATAACACTCTTATAAACTTTATGAAGGTGAGTGTCTTATGTATTAAATCTTTTAGTTAATCTGCTGGAATTGAAATTGATAAGCCTTTGCCACCAGTATAGATCCAAGTCAAGCTCTATCCTATTGGCTGAACAACTTTAAATTTTTCATCTTGATTTTTTTTAAACTGATAAGAGACTGTTCCAAAAGTGAAACTTGGGCAAGTTCATTTAAGATATTAAGCAGGTTAACCTGTATTAATAAGGTAAGAACTTAAGGTATTAAACAGTCACAGAAATTTTCATTAGCCAAAGTGAAAATTCAATATCACAATTTAAATTCTTGTTTTAATTAAAAAAAAAAAAAAAAACAGCAAGTTAATCTAGAACATTAGGATGAATACAGAAAAAACACCATAAAAGTATATTTCAACATTCATTAACTAATCATTAATGTTTTGCTAATAAATATAGCTTCACATTAAAACATACATTTGTACCAAGAAAAGAGGATACAGTCAAGACTGTCATATGTGACTTTCCAAGGGACCCTTGGAAAAAGGTCACATATGACAGGGAGTCTCTTAATACAGTCTCAAAAAAAATTAAAATACATAACTGTGTGAAGGAATAATATGTAACCAATTGTAAATAAACATAAACTCTTTAAATACTTGATGTAAATAAAATGAGAATCACTGTAAAACATTATAATTAATTGCATGTATATCATATAAAAATAAATTTTATTTTTATATTAGATTTATATTGAATTATTTTAGTACAAATAAACTTGAATCTGATCCATTCAAAATCCTTAAAATAAATATCATACTTTAAGACATATTCATATCTAAAGTTTTTTTTCTCTTTAAATGGAAGGTAGATCTATCAACATTTTCATGTAGAATTCATGTAGCAATGGAAAGGTGAAATAAAAAAATGCTGTCTAAAAAAATCTTCCCTTGGCATTACATAAACAGTAAAAAAAAATCGGACACAAAATGGTAATCCAGTTTGATCAGGTATTATGTACTTCACACCTCAATGTGTTAACACACATTGATTGCATCATGCTTACCATATACTAGTCACTTGATACCTGTATGTACATGTAAACTGTGTATTGATGCAATGTTGTGTAGAGGTTGTTTGAAGTGTACTGACTACTTGATAATAATTGGACTTAATTATTTTGGCCCTCTGGGTGTTAAAACAGGTATTATTTATCTGATAAACGGTGTACGGACATAATCCCCTTCGGACAAAATCCCCTTCATGTCTTTTTGTATATCCGGACATAATCCCCTTCATGGGTGGACATAATCCCCTTCATGTGTGAAATTTTGAAGTGGACAAAATCCCCTTCATAAAATTGCTACCTAGGACAAAATCCCCCTCAGAGGAATTTTTGTTTTTTTAAGTGGGTATGAGAGCCACATACTGCATTATGCTGTGTAGTAAATATCTTAATGTATAAATGAGTAGAACATATTTCAGCAGAAAAGCACATTCAATTAGCAACATTTAAATCACATTAAAATTGCTTTGTTAAAGCATTCATAACAATCAATCAAGTAGTGCAGTGATCTGTGGTTTGATTAAATTATCACTCTTTCATCAATAGAAATTGTAACAATGGATAGTATCTATCAATTAGAATTATCAACTTATACAATCAATGAAACAATTATTGGCTAATAAAAATGTTTTTCATACTAATCAATTTAAAACTATTAAAGAAATTGCCTAATCAAATATGTGTTATGCAGTTGATAATTTACCATAATTTTAATGAAAACTTCTAAACTAAATAAAGGTAACTATTGATACATAATTATAAATAAATAAAAAAAAGTTCATTATTCATCAATTTTTATGGAGCATAATAATACATTAGAAACCTATGAAACAAGGGGATTTTGTCCGGGTAGTGAAGGGGATTTTGTCCAGCCTTGCAAAAAAATGAAGGGGATTATGTCCACCCATGAAGGGGATTTTGTCCGGGTAGGTGAAGGGGATTTTGTCCGAAGGGGATTATGTCTGACATTCCTGATAAACAGACAATTAAAATGTGTGAAAGTCATTTAAATCAGACAAAGCAATGCATTGGGACCAGACAATTATGGTCGCTTGTCACATATGACAGGGATTCGTATAATTCAGACCATTTATATAGCAAAATAAGTAAGTAAGTAAGTAAGTAAGTAAATATTTTATTAATGTGTCATATGTAAACATACAAGCAATGAACAAACAAGACATGTATAAACAATAGTATACACCCGGCCCAATGGGCCTATAAGACACAAACAACATGAAGACAATAAATCTGAAAACACGTGAACAACATAAAAGGTATGTTTAGATAAAAAAAAGAAAAAGAAGAAAGATCTTATTTATCTTCTAGCTCAAAAGAAATACTAATTTATTCTAAATAGTTTAACCACAAGAAAGTACTGTATAAGAAATTCAATGTTGTCCGTAAATATATTTGACAAATAAGAATCGAATGCCCAAAATTTACAAGTTACATTCAAGATTTGTTATCATTTGAAAACGTTGAATTATTATGACAGATTTTTCATAAAATATATGTATCACCTGTTTATAGAACCTTTCACTATGGTTTATCTCAATATCTTAATATGATTGTAACATCATGTACAAATTAAACACGTTTATTGAAAAGTTCTGAATATGTTAACGTGGTATGATTTTAAGTTCCAAGTACTTAACTTTAAACAATACTAAAACGAAAACGAAAATTTAACATTATTCAAAGTTCATTGATGGCTTATCTTAAATTGTAATCTAAAGATAACTGACCACGTCCCTTTAATGCATTATATCTTATAGTTCATAAAAATCATGCTATACTATTTCTAAGTCGATAATAACTCTAACATACAGTTACTGTGATAAATAAGGGATTATCAAAGATTATAGAAAAACCGTTACGACTGTTCAAACCTTAATGTATATCAATAAAATATGATAATAAAGTTCAGATTACAATGTCATAAAATGTCCTAATACAGTGCAAAAAATAGTAAATATTTAAATGAATAAGTAATCACAGTTTCAGTGTCTATGAAACAAATAGTCTCTACGCCTCATATATGCCGATACTAAGAATCTAGCTAGTTTTCTAGGGTGATTCTGAACAATATGTACAAATTTGTCACTGTCTGTAAATTGGGTTAATTGATCATTTGAAAAAATCTCACTTAAATGGTTGAGTCTTATATCATGGTACAAGCTACATTTTAAAACGAAATGCATTTCATCCTCAATAGATCCTGAATCACATAATGTACATAGCCTCTGTTCTGGTAATTCACCGACATATCTTCCTGTTTCTACACGAATTGGTAATATACCGCAGCGCATTTGTGCGAGTAATGAACGTTCGTTTCTTTTTAAGTTGAGTTTAAGGTATGATTCTTGCTCGAAGTTATTTTTAAAGAGTCTATATGTTCTGAGTTTAGAAAATTGAGTCAATTTCTCGCTCCACTCTGACTTATAATGATTTTCAATAGCCGATTTAACGATCATTAAATTCACTGGCGTACGATTGTTAAAATGTTCTACCAGGCCTATTTTTGAAAATATATCCTTGATTTCACTACACCAATTATTATGACAATTACGGTAATCCGTGTTAAATACGTGTTTTGTGATTCTATTTTCGTCCATTGTGATAACCCTGTTCCATATTCGTATCATGTTAATCCATCGTCTTTGATTTGTTGGTATCCATCCAATGTCTCCCGTGATTGCCAGAATAGGTGCGAATCTGTGGACTCCCATGTAGTGTCTAATAGCACGGTGCTGTACATTATCAAGCGATTGGTATTTTTTAAAACCCCAAACACCTGAACAATAGTCCATTATATGCACGACACATGAATTATAAAGCTTTTTGAATTTTTTACAACCAAAGTCTTTTATTTATCGCATTTTTGCAATAATTTTACCGAGAGTTCGACTTGCACTTTTAGCTAGCAATTCCGCATTCATGGTGAAATAATGGTTACTGCGAAAGGTTACGCCAAGATACTTGTAGCTGTCAACAAACTTTAGTACATTTTCACCAACTCTGAACTGAAAATCCGTACGTGCTGATCGTCCTTTCCGGAAGTGAATACATTTGGACTTCTCAGTATTAATAATTACTCGCCACCGTCTACACCAATCACGAACTTTGACTAGAATACGTTGGAGGTCCTCCTCAGATTTTGCGATACATACAATATCATCTGCATATAGTAACATCGAAAGCTTCCTTCCGTCTATGTTAAATCCAAGGTCAAGGTCATTGATCTCCTTCACTAGATCATTTGCGAAAATGGAATATAATGTCGGGGAAGCCGAATCTCCTTGCTTTACTCCAGTAGTACATGTGAACCAGTCTGTTAACTTATTATTTAGACGCACACTTGCCGTAGATCTCTGATAAATGCTCTTAATTGTTGTGTACATTTTCCCGTCAATGCCATTTAGTAGTAATTTGTATAATAACATATCAATGTCTATAAAATCAAAACATTTGCGTAAGTCGATAAAGGATGTAAATACTTCATTATTGTTGCGAATTATACCGCTTAACGAAAAGACATGGTCCTCACAAGATCGATTGCGTCTAAAGCCGTTTTGCTCATCTTCCAGTAAGTCATTTTCTTCGAGATATTTTGTCAACCGTTTATTAACTAGACCAGTGTAGAGTTTACTTACACATGACAATAAACTGACTCCTCTATAATGTAATGGTACACGTGGATCTGACATTGGGTCTTTCAAAATGGGACATATAATTGATTTCCTCCATATAGATGGTATAATGCCGGTATCAAATATCAACTGAAATAGTTCTTTCAAGATGGCAATTAGAGCTGGACATTTCAGAACAAAATACGGAATCTCATCGTAACCGCATGCTGAACGGGATTTAGCTTTCATAACAACTTCACTAATTTCCGTCAACGTAATATTTCCGTTAAGTGTTACATTTTGGTTGTATAATGGATCACTAATATTATTCTCCAACATTGACTTGTGTATTTTAGCCTGATTATAATGCTCACTGTTGAAATCATTAGAATCCGTGCCATTATATAAACATTCAAAGTCACATTTCCATCTATTCAGAATCTCTCTTTCATCATACGTAACATGGCCGTCACCATTAATAATTTCCATTGGGATCGATTTGTTGCTTCTTGGGCCTAGTTTGTTTATTTTCTCCCAGAATTCGTTAGGATTTTTTGTTGTCATTGTTTCAATTTCTTCCGACTTTGATTTTCTATATGCCCGTTCAGCCTGACTTAATGATTTATCAAACGTGTCTCTTGCTATAGTATATTCACGACGTAATGTAGATTTTACACGTCGAGTACCGTTACAACGCAGAAATTCACGTTCTTTTTGTTTTTGTAATTTCCATAGTTCTGACAGAGTTTCATTCCAATATGGTTTTCGAATTTTATGCCTCTTGTCTCTAATAATACAGTTTTGTTTAGGAATTTTTCTGTCTATTTCTTCAAATATCATTCCACAAAAATGATCATAAATGTTGTCCATGTTATCCTGTGTCTCCCGGAAGCTCTCAATTCTCGATATACAGTCAATAATTGCCATCCTCGCTAAATCACTTTCCATAAAATCGTCCGGTACATTTCTTACTTTGAAGCGCGATCGCTTAATCTCCTGACCGGTAGACGACTGTTGACCCACATTTTCTGAATGCGCGGCGTAAAATTGTGTGATAATTGCTGAGTGATCGGGTAACCTTGACCTTTCTCCAAGTAAACCATGTAATCCGCAATTATCTACTATTGACTGCATTGACAGGACGTCAAACGAAAAACACTTTAAATATTGATCATGTGGTACACAGATATAGTCAACGACTGCTTTTCCGCGCCGTGAAACCGATGTCCAACCGTTGCCTATAGAGACGTTACCGTTAGAAGCGTCATTGTTGGCCACTTCACATCGTCCATTGAGAATGCAAAATTTAGCATCATTCAGAAATTCAATAAAGTCATGCCCATGCTGATTAATTGTCTTATCTAACACGTGTCTTTGGGGAATGCTGTCTAAACCATTAATTATATCCGATAATGATCCTATCCGGGCATTGAAATCAGCTGCCAAAAATATTCCATCACTGTCACTATTTATGTATATTTGCGATAATAAATGTGCAAAGAAACTAGAAGCGTCACGACCACGGGCTGAACATTCTGGGGGCAAATAGCATGAAAACACAATAAACTCGTACTCCGAATTTTTATGCAAGAATTTCACTCCTAAAATTCCATCAAACGATTTATCAATAACAGTTACTTCGTATTCCTGATAAATCCATGATTTCACAAACAACCCAACGCCACCTGATGATTTTGGCGCATTTATATGAATTTCTTGTCTATTGTAACCAATCCACGTATATCCAGGCACTGTTAATCCGATATTATCTTTAAGGTGCGTTTCACAAACCGAAATAACGTCACTTTGTAGATAATTTATTATACTTATTCTGAGATCATTGTTATCTTTTGTCCATCCGCAAACGTTGATATGAGCAAGCCGAATTGCCCTTGGCCGGGATATATCCTAAAATTCAGCGTTTGTATTTTGGTCACGTGCATTTTCGGCACGTGCGTCGTTATCTCCAAGCAATCTCTCGTTTTCATGCTGTACTCTCGATTTGATGCGTCCTCTAGCATCGACGCGTAACGATCGTCCTTGGGGCAAATTACGAATGGTTGCTCTTGCATTCATTTCAATAAGTCGTTCGATATGTGACTTACTACTACGTACTTGAACATGTTTGTATTCAGCACTGAAACGTAGTTTGGGCTTATTTCTCAACAGCAGGATTTTTTGCTCTAGTGTTTCTACACTAAATTTCAATATCGGCGGTCTATCGTGAAATCTTGCCGGTAGTCGAATTGCATCCGTTACAATGACTTTTGATTGGACCTCTTCGCCTAATGAGTTCACTAGCTCCTGTGCTTTCTGAATTAAGTCCTCGAACTCCGTGACCTGGATTCCGCTGGCCGTGCATGTTCGATTTGGGTCACTGATTGAATTACCTTGACCAAACGAGGTACCGTTAACGCTTGTATGCGCGGACGCTCTTTCCTGCTCAAAAGAAACCATTCTTTTTTTCAACTGATCAACTTTTGTTAACATCTCGTCAATGCGCACGGATTCTCGAGTGATATCAAATTTGAGCTCATTTTTCAAAGTGTCCACCTTCGAATTAATTGTACTCATTAGTTCCGATTTTAAATTGTCAAACTTTTTTTCAAACGATATACGCATATTTTCTTGACCCAATTTTATTTCCCTCACAGTATTACATAGAAAAGTCAATTGCTCTTTTTCTGACATTGCGCCGTTACCTTGATCTGTGGTCGCCATATTTGATCTCAAATCTTGAGGGGTCTCCTGTGGGGGCTTTGATATCTTGGCAGTGTTTTGAGAATGTGTATGTTCTCTATTGTTTTTAGAAATGGATGGGGATTCGAACACAGACTGTGATAGATTTATTGAATCATCATACGGAAATAATACCGAATTTGTCGCTCCAAGAATCTCACTCACTGTTACCTTGTTCTCCTGTGGCGAACCTCCATGTTTGAATTGCTTGTTTATCTGTGATATTTGATCAGTCAAAATATGTTGGGAGGACTGAAACAAGGTCGGATAAGACAGGGAGTTGTTGAAATCAGGGGGTCCCTAAGGCAGTCTTGACTGTATATACTGTATATGTATATTGAACTAATATATATGTGTATATATTACAGAGTGAGTACAGAAAACGTGGCTTTCAAGAGGTTGTGTCACCAAACATATACAATCATAAGTTATGGGAAACTTCAGGCCATTGGCAACATTACTCTGTAAGTTCACCATAAGATTATAGAAATAACATAACTTTACTGTTCATTTATTTTATGAAAAAATATTACATTAGATATAGCTTTATACCATTTTATCCCATTTTATATTTAAAATTGTCTCTTTACAAAGTTGCTGGATGGTATTTGATTTGTATTAGTATTTAAGTGTATTAACAAGATTTTATAGGATAATCCTTAATTTAATTTAAACTATCGGTAATTTTTCAGGATTGCATGTTCAAGTTTGATATAGAAAAAGAAAAATATGGCCTGAAACCTATGAATTGTCCAGGACATTGGTACGTAATTTCAGATACAATTTATACTAGATCTATATTCTAAAGTAATACTGTTTGCAGTTGGAGAAACATTTTGGACATATTTTGGGAAATCTTCTGTTTTCATATGGCATGAAAAGGTATCTTTATTCTACAGATTCAGTGACAGTCTTAGTAACTTTATTAAATCAATTACAAGATTATGGAAACAATATAACTTTACTGTTGATACATTTTTAGCTCGACTATTCGAAGAATATGAGAGCTATTGTAGTCGCCCCGGCGTCGGCGTCCGCGTCGGCGTCTGCGTTGCTTAAAGTTTTTTGTAAAGTCAAATATCTATATTATTACTTGTGATATTCAATTGAAACTGACAATAGTTATTTATAGTAACAAGGTACATCAGATTGACAAGTTGGATAACTCTGCCTACAATATTGACAGAATTATGCCCCTTTTTAACTTAGAAATTTTGGTTAAAGTTTTTGTAAAGTCAAATATCTCAATTATTGCTTGAGATATTCAATTGAAACTTACAATACTTATTTATAGTAACAAGGTACATCAGATTGACAAGTTGGATAACTCTGCCTACAATATTGACAGAATTATGCCCCTTTTTAACTTAGAAATTTTGGTTAAAGTTTTTTTGTAAAGTCAAATATCTCAATTATTGCTTGAGATATTCAATTGAAACTTACAATACTTATTTATAGTAACAAGGTACATCAGATTGACAAGTTGGATAACTCTGCCTACAATATTGACAGAATTATGCCCCTTTTTAACTTAGAAATTTTGGTTTAAGTTTTTTGTAAAGTCAAATATCTCAATTATTGCTTGAGATATTCAATTGAAACTTACAATACTTATTTATAGTAACAAGGTACATCAGATTGACAAGTTGGATAACTCTGCCTACAATATTGACAGAATTATGCCCCTTTGGAACTTAGAAATTTTGGTTAAAGGTTAAAGGTCTTCAAAGATATTTACTTGAAACTTTACACATGCACGTAGGGTCATAATTGGAGGGTCATAATTGTATGTCACTGACCAAGTTCCATAACTCTATCTTGCATTAAGGCTGATTCATATCCCCTTTTCTACTTAGTCTCTTGGTTAATGTTTACATGCAAGTTTTACATATCTCAATAACTATTAAAGATATTTATTTAAAACTTCACATATGCATTTAGAGTCATAATTGTAGTTCACTGACAAAGATCCATAATTCTATCTTGCATTTAGGCTGATTTTTCTCCCCTTTTTTAACTTAGAAATTCATTGTAAAGTTTTGCTTGTAAGCTGTTATCTCAATAACTACTGAAGGGTTTGTGCCTTTTTTGGGACAATTTAAGCATTAATAATAATAAAGCTGTGATTTACTTAATAAAACATCTTAATAACAAGCCTTTGTACCTTTTCTGTCAAATTTATGTATTCATAGGTAATTAGTATTATTATACTCAATAAAACAACCTTGTGACATTACCTTCCGAATAGTCAAGCCAATACTGTATAATTAGACTCTCTTCAAGGCCTATAACTTGAATTTATAAAAAAAAATTAGCCCTTTTGTGAACTTAAAAAATTTAACATTATCAAGGCTCTTTTACTATCAAGCACTTAGAATAGTCGAGCGTGTTGTCCTTCCGACAGCTCTTGTATATAAGATATAGCTTCATACCCTTTAATACGATATTATCTATTAACAGTTTGATGTTTGACCACCGTATCAGATCGCACAAAGAACTACCATTGAGAATGGCTGACTTTGGCGTGCTACACAGAAACGAGTTGTCCGGGGCTCTCAGTGGATTGACTCGTGTACGAAGATTCCAACAAGACGATGCTCACATATTCTGTGCACCTGAACAGGTATTACTAAGCTAACAATTTTCTTGAACCTTTTAAAATAGTTTTCAATCTTCAGTTTCTGGAATTACTGACAAAAGCTAAAGCTGAAGAAATTCTGACAGGGCCCAATTAAAACTTGCCAAAATATCATGATAATGTGACTTTAGATTTAATTGCTAATTTTGATATCAAAGTAAGAAGCTTGCACCAAAGTCTGGTTAATTAGATTTGCCTACAGACTGTATTAGTTGTTTACAACCTGATAAAGGGTATATCTTACCCAAAATCGGTAGTTTAAATAAATATGTGAACTGTCCTGGTGTTGATGTCTTGTTTCCCCCAGCCTTATAACCTTTTAATTTATAGAATTTATTTTAGTTTGATTGTGTATGAAGCATATAGACATACCCTTGTATTTGTTCCTTGAACAAACTTATACATATCAATGAATGTAAATGTTCTTTATTGTTGTCATAGATATCACCTCCTGCATGAGAATATTTATTCTTTTACAGATTGAGCAAGAAATTATGGGTTGTTTAGATTTTTTGAAGTTTGTGTATGGTGTTTTTGGATTCACATTTGAGTTGAAGTTGTCAACCCGACCTGAAGGTTTCCTAGGTGAAGTTTCATTGTGGGATATGGCTGAGAAGGTTGGTGATTTGTGAAACAAATAATCAGAATAGATATACATTAAAAAAGTAGTCTGTTGAAATTTGTGTTATATGAACATAAAATAAAAATACATGGGTTAATGATTTTTTTAACAGTGCTTGATAGTTGTCATCAGAATACATGTCATGTAATTTCAGAGATAAATGAATAATAAAATTGATAAAAATCAAATATAGACATAATTTATAGATGATATTTTAGTTTATATCTTGAAAATTTAATATATTTATAATTTTATGCCTCCAGTTTAAGTGATGCTTTGGGGTGGGGCTTAAAGTTATGCTTATTTCTGTTTACACTCAGTAATGTTATCCAATCAGTGTTAATAATATTCTACAACTGTAAATGAGAATCATTCAATATGATAACATTATGTTAAGTGATGGTATCAAAGTGGTGCCACAAAATGTTCTAAACATCATTACTTTTGACAATTTCTAGGATCTTGCAACGTGCTTGGATAAGTCTGGTCTCAAATGGGAGTTGAACCCAGGTGATGGTGCTTTCTATGGTCCAAAAGTAAGTAACAGATGTAATCTATATATAGTAACAGAAGTGATCTATATAAAGTACTAAAAGCTGCATGCCTGAAGAAAATAAACAAAACATACTAAAATTGTAAAAAAAAAGAAAAATGATTTAAGATTCAAGTTACAATTTATATCTTTTGTGAGATTATTGCAGTATTAATCACAATATTTCTACTGCGTTACTACCGCAGTAAGGGCTATTTTTGCATTTTTTTGTCCTCATTTTGGTAATTTACATGGGTTGTACGTGCTGTTAGCAATGTGTGAAATATTTGAATTACTTTCTTTGTTTACTTCACAATATTTTACTTTTAGATACATTTTCAAAATTTTCATGAAAATTGGAATGAATCTAGAGGCGTGCTGCTTTATTATGATTGAATGAAAATATCTATTTTTAACATAGTACAATGTCAAATAAAATTCATACATAATTATTTACCTTGCTTTCTTTACTGTTAAAACACGATCCTGTATTAAAGTTTGCAAGGTTGCTGTTGTCTAACATTGAGAACAGTCAACATCCATGAATTGAAAGAGGTGTAAGTGTTTAATTTTATATTGAATGAAAGGTTTAAGTAGGGATGAAAGCTGTCCATTTTAAAGTGATTATGTAAGTTTAATTGCAGTTAACTAACATTACTATAGTAACAGATAGAAAATGTGTTTACATTTAGATTGACATCACCATTATGGATGCATTAAAAAGGTCCCATCAGTGTGCCACTATACAACTTGATTTCCAGTTGCCTATCAGATTTAATCTAGGCTACATTGGGTAAGTTGACATATGCAAGCTTACACTTGTATGTATGCTTTCATCTTTATTTACAAGATTTTAGTCATACCCTTGTATGAAAAAAGAATGCCTAAATAGAACTTTGAGAAAATGAGATTTTAATAAAATGCTGGCATATCGTCTTTGGTGATATCTAAATTTCAATCTTTAGGGATTCTTGATTCCGATTTTAAGACTGGTGACAATTGGTAAGATGCCACTACCTATCTTGAAGTAATGCATAGATTACAATTTCTAATTATTTTCATGTCTGTATTACCCATAGAAATATTAGATGTCGGTGAAACAACAGCATTGTTTATTATCCATACCCAATTCTGTTCATGAGCAATCTACATAATAGTATATGTTGTCCATTGGATTAAAACAAAATATATGTCTATTGCTAAATTTGTTTGTCGACCATTGTTATATTTGTCTCTCTATTGACGCATTTATTTGGCAATAAACAGAAGAATTAATTAAATTCTGTTGGCTGCTATAAATGAATATTTAAACTTATTATTTCAATTTCATAAATTTCTGTTTTAACATCCAACAATATAATAATTTTATTTCATGCTTTCCAGTGTTTTATTGTAATATATCAGATGATTATATTCTGATAAACCACTAGTGAAATTTATAAAATATAATTTTCACTGTAGCCGGACTATATATGAATGCGGATGAAAAGAAAATCATAACTAAATGGAATAACAGGCAGAAATAAATGCCGCCATGCGTAAATTTTGCTTCTGAAGGAAAAGAAAGTCGATGTCAGCATACATCATGTTAAAAACGTAACAAAATTAGAGAAATTTAACAGAACTATATTTCAAAATTGATGATGTGACGTCATGATGTGATGACGTCACAAAGGAGAATGCGCGACGTTACGCGGCAAATTCAGTAAAAATTACTTAAAATCACTTAAAACACATGAAATAAAAAGAAAATTTATTTGTTTTACATATAAGATTGAAATATATTTCATTCGTGAACACCAGCTATGATATTTTCACTCGTGGCTACGCCACTCGTGAAAATATTACATCTGGTGTTCACTCAGAGAAATTATATTTCAATCTTACATGCAAAACAAACAAATATCCTCTATATATATTATGAATGTACATGTATGTTACCAGGGCGTCTGCTGACGGGGAGAAGTTACGACCTGTGATCATCCATCGTGCTATACTGGGTTCCGTGGAGAGAATGATTGCTATCCTCTGTGAAAGTTATGGTGGAAAATGGTAAACATATCTTAAATGAATACATATAAAGAACCTGTGAAACCGCTTACTTCACAGATACTCAATTATCCATTACTCCATAGTGTACATGTAAATTATAAATAAACAACAGGCGCAACAAATTCTGTTAAATCATTTAAAGTAAAATGTTAAAAACTGAAAACATTACTTCTTCGTTTTTGTACTGAATAACTGACTTACTATAGAGTTGTTAAACAAGCTATATATGACTTGTTAACTCAAATTCTTTTCAGAAGGTTGTCAAATGATAGAACAAATTTTGATGGAATTCAGAACATTAAATTTATTCTTGCTATCTTTCATACACAATAAAACTTGAAGAAAAACAGCCTATAATTAGATAAAATCATATTTTGACATTTAGCACACGTTTGGTTTAATTTGGATATATTTATAATGATAATAGTAGCGATATAATGATGATTTCAGGCCATTCTGGTTGTCCCCAAGGCAAGCTATAGTAATACCAGTGGCTCCAGCATTTGATGATTATGCTTTGAAGGTATATTCAATTAATTAAATAAAGTTAATGTTTGATAAATTTGTTGAATCGTGTTTCCATGCTTTAAATTTCAAATTGTCTTATGTATATTTAAGAATTATTCACAAAGCCATCAGATGTAAGGTAACATTCTAACCTTGAACCCATCTCTTGGTAATGGTGGGAATTTTAGTTGGATTCTCTATAAGAATCCGGCTTTGAAGGGTCAGTAATGCGACTGCAATGCATAAGATTATTGTCAGTTCCAGACTAGAGTTGAAAAAGGAAATATTCTCCTTGTTAGTTTATGACAGAAATAAACTATATTTACATTTTAATTTGAACTTGGGCTTTGATTTTCTTTTAGTTAATTTCCATAATTTAGTACCGTTAATGCATGCCAGCTTCAAGATGGTGACAAATAAGTCATACCAGTTGTTCAGTGTAGGATCCTCGGCATTATAGTTGTTGTATATAGAAAACTTGCCTTTATTATGTCGCCTTGAAAAGGTGACATATAGGGGTTACTTTTGTCGGCGGTGTCTTTGTCGGCGTCCGCTAAAGCTTGTCCGGAGCATAACTCAGTCACTATAAGTCTGATTGACTTCAAACTTGGTATGCATGCTTCTTTCAATAACCCGAAGTGCAGTGCACAAGGACCGGTACTCTGCAGTTCTTATTTTTTGAGTTATTGCCCTTTGTTAATTTTCATACTTTAATTTTGTCCGGGCCATTTCTCTTCAACTAAAAAAGCTATGGACTTGAAACTTCATAAGATGATAGATCTCATTAAGAAGAAATGCAGTGCACAAGAACTGGTACTCTGCATTTCTTATTTTTTGAGTTATTGCCCTTTGTTTATTTTCATACTTTAATTTTATCCGGGCCATTTCTCCTTAAGTATAAAAGCTATGGACTTGAAACTTAATAGAATGATAGATCTCATTATTAAGAAATGCAGTTCACAAGAATCGGTACTCTGCATTTCTTCATTTTTGAGTTATGGCCCTTTGTTAATTTTCATACTTTATTTTTGTCCAGGCCATTTCTCCGAAAGTATAAAAGTTATGGACTTGAAACTTCATAGGATGATAGATCTCATTAAAAAGAAGTGCAGTGCATAAGAACTGATACTCTGCATTTCTTATTTTTGAGTTATTGCCCTTTGTTGATTTTCTTACTTTATTTTTGTCCTGGTCATTTCTCCTCAAGTATGAAAGCTATGGACTTGAAACATCATAGAATGATAGATCTTATTGATAAGAAGTGCAGTGTACAGAAACTGCTGCTCTGCACGTATTATTTTTTTAGTTATTGCCCTTTGTTATTTTTCATATTTCATTTTTGTCCTGGCCATTTCCCCTAAACTACATTGTTCACAAGGCGACACATCTGACTCGCGGAGTTCTAGTTCTTTATACACATTACATGCATAGTGTAGGTTGTTTGATTAACCTAATGAAAAGCGTACCATATGAAATTTAGATAAAACAATGTAGTTTATTTCAAACTTTATACATTGTCATTTAAACAGGGTTTGTACAGTCTTAAAAAGTGCTTAAATTTCAGTCCCTGTCTTAAAAAGTGCTTAAAAATGTAAAATAGTGCTTAAAAGTCCTTGAATTTGATTACTGTCTGAAAAGTGCTTAAAAAGTGCTTTTGCTGAAAATATGCTTGAAAATGATTGAATGACATAGTGTCGATAAAAATCAACAGTTAACAAAATAAGAAAAAGATCCAATTTAGTATCAAAATCATTGAAATGTTAAACTTTGCTCAAGGTAACAATAAGTTGACAAATTGCACTTGTTTTGAACTAATTTGTATTTGATGCACCCTTTGTTGTTCTTTTCTATAAAACCTTAATTTGGCCAGAAAATTTGTATAATTCAAGAAAAAATGCTGAATAAACTATCCCTCTTAGGTTGAATATTATGTCGATATATATGTGCAACAAATGTGCTTAAAAATGGGAATACATGCTTAAATAGTGCTTAAAAAGTCCTTGAATTTTGGCATTGGATGTCTGTATGAACCCTGCATTATCACTACCCTTTCGATTTTTTGATTACATCAAATTATTGAAGTCATATTTTGTATTACATAGGTTGCACCTTCATGAATTTGAAAATATAATAAATATTGGTATTTAGATATTCTCATACAGTATATATTTAATGATATTAATATAGACATACTGTTAGGTTGCTGTTTATGTCACATGTCTATTAATAATGAGTTTAATTATGAACCAGTTGATTAGTTTACCTGAGGTGTGTTGATTATTTTACAGGTAAAACAACAAATCCATGATGCTGGATTTCTATGTGATGCAGAACTTGATGCCTCCAATACTTTGAATAAAAAAGTTAGAAACTCGCAGTTAGCTCAATATAACTTTATTCTAGGTAAGTAAACAGCACAAGGCTTGAAATTTGCTTTACTCTTCATGTTATATTGACAAGGAGAGAGCAGGGGCCTCTACAGGTGAGTTGTTACGGTTGTGACTGAATCTTTCTTACCTTGCTATGTCAGGTCTGAAATCTCACCCAGGATGTTACATTGCGGGTTATTTGTGCAGAATCTATTTACTAGGTCACAGAAGATCTGAGGTTTTAAACAGATTCCTGATTGTACTAGAAAATAATGTATGGAGGGATATTGTCTAAAAAGTTACTGTATATTCTATTGTCAGAGCCAGTGAGAGTAATAATGAACCTTGGCTTCTGTAAAACATGGCTAAGGCTGAAAAAGAAAATATTTTCCCTTAAAACTATGACATTGTGAACAATAAATTTTTTTATTTACATTACAGTGGTAGGTCAGAAGGAAGCGCATTCTGGGTCAGCTAATGTACGTACACGTGACAACAACGTGCACGGGGAACGTTCTATTGATAAAATCATAGGAAGGTTTGCTGATTTCAGTGCAAGCAGATGTGGGGATGCTGAGGAACAGTTTTAAAAACATTTAAAATCAAGTCACTTTAGTCCAGGACTTCATTAAAGACAGGAGAATTTATTATTGGCAAATTTTAAATGGCGTAGAAACAGTGGTGAAAAAAATGAAGGTCAACTCTCAAAGTATTCCTTCCTTATTAACAAACTTAGATGCATGAATTGTTAAAGACACAGACACTTTATCTTGAATATATGAAGATTTTTTGAATGTATGCAATAGTCTAAGTGTTTTGTTTCAATAAGTGTATGAATCATGAATCAATCCGGACATTAATTTAAATGAAGTTTTGCTTTTTGCCATAATCATTGTATTGTTAGGTATGATAACAGCGGTACTGACACAGCGTGGTAACTTATCCAATAATCAGTGTAGAGAAGTCCACATTTTATCATATATTCTTTTTGGTGCACACATAATTAATGTAGTTAATGTTTTATTTCATAGCTTAATCTTGTGATTTGAGTTGCAAATTGTTTGACTGTTAAAAATACATATTAAATGTTTTAGACTATGAGACTTAACTAAATTGCAACTGCCTGAAATGATGTTTTTGTTACAATTATCCAGGAATTATGAATTTTAGTCTTATGTCAATTTGAAATATACTGAAGTGCTAAGCGTTATATTTTGTTAAATATGACAACAATTGGCTTTGGCTTTTGTGAAGTAAAGAAACTGTTAATAATTAGATGTTATTTGTATTATTAATAGAGCTTTAAAGGTTTTAAATAAGAATTGGTGTTTAACAGATTTTATTTAAATTTGATAGACTTACAACTAGAATTTTTCAACATATTTAAACGGATTTAGCTTTTAGTTGTATTGTTATGTTGTTGTTTTTTCTATTGATGGACGTTAACATGTGTTTTAAGTCACACCAATTGACTTTTTCCTGGATGTTGGAACCAGTGTGGAAGTGAGAAAAAAATATCGCACTGCTTATGTGACTTGAATCCAAAACCTCTAAATTGGATGCCAAGTGCTCCTCTTCTTCAGCTAATTGGTGGTTATGTAATATTCTGTATCATTTCATGCGTGCAAGATAAGGTATGTTCCGAACGTTCACAAATATCACATACATGTAGGTTTAGAAAAACATTAAATTAATAAGCAAATATATTTGAAGTGAAGATTTCAAGATATTTCTATATTAAGCATTTATGGAAGAATTTTTATGCTACATGTATATGTATTTAATATTTTGATTACATTTGAAAACTTTGTCTCGGTAGATGTAAGCTTCTGTTTTCTTGGAAATGGGATAACCTGTAAACGTTATAACTGCATCACTATCATGTATTTATTGAATAAAATCATATTTGATTTTATTTTGTGTTATTTGTTTTCTGTCCTAATACATTTTCATATTATCAGGGTATCGTATATTGTTGTTCACCAGGTTGTTAGCAATTTCATGTGTAATCTTTTGAACTGACTGTAAGAAATTGAAACAACTTGCTAAACCTTAATCTTAATGAGGCAATGTGCTTTGCGCAGGTTTGACCTTCCTTCCTCAGGTCAAGGTCACAGTCTGTTTGAATTCTGCTCCATATCGACTAATCAAAGAAAATTGAAATTATCTGGCAGAAATGTTCCTCATAATCGAATCGGACGATATACAGAGCACAAATTTGGACTTCCTCTGGTCAAAACTTTCAAAGGAAAACACACAAGTCTTTTTGTGTGAAATTAAAATGCAAAGAGTTGAGATATTTTGCATATAGCATTGCTATGTTAACCGAAACATGTGTCAATATTTGTCACTTGATATTAATAGACCTATTTAAACCTGACTGATGCCCAAAGCTTAGCTATTTGGCAAGTACCATCGCTTAGTGGGCGTGTTGGTGGCTTAAACGCAAGAGATTAAGATTAAATTGGAAATTTCCTAATTTTGTGGAAGCTAGCTTACGGAACGTCGGTGGTTAGTTTATACAAATTTATTATCATCCGGCGGGGGGGTATAGAAGTAGCCGACATTTTTGTCCAGAGCATATCTCAAAAAGTATTTGAGATGTCAATTTGAAACTTCATAGGTGGATAGATCATATTGAGGAGGAGTGCATGCACAAGATGATATCTCGCCTGCATATTTGCAATTTGCTTTCTAATTGTCCAGAGCACAACTCAAAGCTTTGAAATCACATGAACTAAGTGATATACCACTCAGGATTCATGCACATGAGATAACTCTATTCTCATAATTTTGAGTTATTGCCCTTAGTTATTTTTCATACTTAATTTTTCACCTGAGTAGAGCATAACTCAAAAAGTCTTTGAGATGTCAACATAAAACTTCATAGGTGGATTTGTCTTATTGAGGAGGAATGCTGTGCGCAAGAATGATAACTTGCAACCTTTTTGTAATTTTTGAGGTTTTTTCCATACTTTTTGTCCGGAACTTATCTCAAAAGTGTTAAGGTATCAACTTGAAACTTCATAGGTGGATGGAACTTATTGAGGAGATGTTCAGCACACAAGAATGATAACTCTACCCGACATTATTTTTCAGTTATTGCCCTTTGTTATTTTCAGCCATCAGTATTCACATAGGTTTCAAATCTGTAATTAATTCAGCCATCCGTTTTCATAACCAAAAGACCTCTTAAAATTGAATTATTCTGCTCTACTACATATACATTCTTCCAATGAGCAAACACATTCGGCGGGGGATGGCCATGTTAACATGGCTCTTGTTTTAGTTCGGTTGCATTGGAAGGTATAAGCTTATTGAAACCTGGAACCAACCAGTACTAAGCAATGAATGTAAAGTTTCTTGCTCAGGGAAACAACGGCTTGCTCCTGACGGGGCTTGAACCCAAGCGATCAGGAATCTTTAGATTACTAGACCGACGCATTAACCATTTGGCCACGCCGCCATAACGTGGGTGGTTGTACTTGGGTGCTTGAAATAATGGAGTGACTCCTGAGGTCTTCCTCCACTAGATAAGCTGGAATGTCGCCGTATGACATTTACTGTGATGGTGCGACGTAAAACACAATCAAAGGGAAGAAATTTCCTTATAAACATCCCGTTCCCTAATTGTGTAGAAATGACCGTGGCTGATCTAAATATCACAAAGATTAGTGTGGTCAAAATTCATATTTTAAATTCGAAATCTGGACAGATTATCATTAGAGGTCTCAATGTTTCCTTGAAATGACAGAAGGTACAGAAAGTTTCTGGAAAGCTTTTGTTAATTACTTTCCAAGATCATATTTTCTTCAAAAGGTTGATTAAAATAAATTTGACCCCGATCCAAAAATGGATGCTTATTTTAATGTTGATATAATTGTAACAGGCATATCAGCAGTTATAAACATTATGTATTATTGCATAGGCCTAATATAAAAAGTAAGGTCACCTGACGCTGATTATTAACATCTGAAGTTGCTAATGGGGAAAATTTTCACATCAAATTCTTTTTAATGGTCAATCAAACATATGTACAGAATGAGGCCAGCTAAATAAGAAATCATGAATATAAAAAGAACAAATGAATAAAAGTTGATTTCTAAGAGACACCACCTTATAAAGAACAAATATTCATAACTTAGCCTGTTTTTTTATTTACAGGTAAGAATTATTTAAAATTTTGTGATAAATTTGTTTTCTTGATTTAAGAAGACAATTCTGATTATCGAGGTGAGTGTGTTAAAATATTTGTGTGCGTAAGAACTTCTCTATTTTATCGGTTTGTCTACATTCAAACAATTTTTTTGTCTCGCCTTAATCAACTTTATTATAATTTAGAAAATATACAACAACTTCATGGAAGGGTCATTTAAGTAAACAGTTTGTTTTTTGAAACACTAGCAGATTTATATCAAGGTGGTGTAGAACGGACCCCGAACGCGTACTGCATAACATGGATGTTGTCTGCTAGAGTTTTCTTTAATTGAAGAATTTGTCCGCTCTGAGCTTGTTGGATTGGCTGAATGAACGTAACTATGCTCTGGATACCATCAACATTATGTCTGAAAATAAAATAAATGAGCCGAGTCACGACAAAACCAACATAATGGGTTTGCGACCAGCATGGATCCAGACCAGCCTGCGCATCCGCGACTGGTCTGGATCCATGGTGATTGCAAACCCATTATGTTGGTTTTGTCGTGACGCGGCTCATTAATATATATTACTTTTTTTGAAAATTGGCGACAGTAAAGGGGACATGGGAACTCACTTTTTATGAAATTTCCACATTCCAACTTAACTTATAGAAGTATTAAAGGTAATCATCATTGATCAGCTTGTAATGTCGAATTTCTGTAACCTAGTGGAAAACCTTTCTTTTAATATATGAAATTAATATCTCAATAAAAGAAAATAAAAACATGAAGAAGAAAAAACCTGAACACTTGTATACTATTTTGGCGCTCTTTATGCAAAAAAAATGCTTTTCTACTTAATTATGATAGAAATATATCGGTATTCCACCATGCAACGTCTCTTATATTCGACTAAAGAATCGCGCGACATGATGTAACACGATCGACTGATGGCATTTTTGAAATGATAAAGGACAGCCTCTTTAATACTGCAAGTCCATGACACTGATAATATTTTAGTGTATGTGTGACATTTTTAATTTCTCTATATTTAAGATATGCTTAACCAATTACCATTATCATATTATTACAATTATTGTGAATGTTTGTTCACCAGTAATATTATCATTTGTGTTATTATTTTTACAAAGTTTTTATTCTATTTTAATTAATTGTATTGTTAGTGTTGTGTTTTCATGGGAAAGATTAAAGTAGAAATAATGCTGGCAGTATTACCTGAACTGTGTGAGATTTTGTTCATAAGCCCCGAGTTTCATTGTTGCGCTGAATGCATCTTGACCTGCCTGTAACAATGAATAGTACAAAATAATCAAAACACATTTACACAACAGAGTAATCAATAAACCTACTCCGGAATAGATTAACTCCGGATTAAGAATATTTTGGTTTTTCCCCCAGCAAATCTTTGGGTGCAAACGCAATTTTACAGTTATAGCTTCGAAAATTAGCGCAACTGGTTGACTAAACTTTTATGACCGGTAGTGCACCGTGTAGCTATAACGATAAAAGTTTCTTTGTCCCGAGGGATTAGCTTAGAAAAAAACCCACATTTGCCGAGTTCCAGATAACAACAAATTACACGATCACGACTCCATCAAGACATGAACTGACCGTTATATGCATAGACCTATATTTTTCCTGGTAAAAAGTTTCAGAAACAACACATTATCATCGGTGTCTGTTGTCAATGTAAAGGTATTTGTTCACCATTATCATATCCTTACAATTATTGTAAACGTTTGGGTGCACGGTGAGACTTTAATGCCATGAACATTGTCTATGTCATCTCTCAGTTCCGTCATTGGTGCGAGCAGACGTGTCAATTGTTGTACATATTATTAAAGTCCATGGAATGAATTCAATTGTTCTTACAGTAAGATGACCCACTTTATAGTTTACATCGTTTAGCAAATTATATTGGTACATATATATTCTCAGTATATAACATAACATAACATAAATTTTATTTAACATAAAATTGTAAACATACAATTTATTGTCAAATCTGTAAAGTGTTACAAGTTACAATTAGCCGAGAAGTATTGCTAACGATATGAACAAATGTTATGATATATGTAACAGTTTGCATAAGAAATACTTATACATGTAAGAAACAAATGTCAAAGAAGGAAAAATATTTGTTAACGTTGCCGAGAAGTATTAATTTTTGACAAATATAAACAAAGGTTACAACATAATTGCATAAAAAAATACTTATACATGTAGACAGTAGAACGAGATTTGTTCACGTGCCGAGAATTATTGGTGACAAGTATATAATAAGGCCAATTAAGTGCTTTGCTTTATGTTTATTTTTTGTGATATTTCTTTATGTAAGACCCGTTACATTCGTGGTACACGAATACCAAAAAAGAGAAATTTTGCTTAAAGGTCTACAATATCATCAGAAATTCTCCGTAAGGTATAAAATTATATGTTCTTACAAAGTTTGATATTACTTCTAAATGGTTGGATTGGATGAATTTTCTCGTTTGTTCTTAAAGAGCCATCTGACTGCTCGCTTACTTTACTTACAGAATACTCTTTAAAAGAGCGCGTGTTCTTTAGTTATAATCACGGACTGAAAATGCATACATGTAGTCTTATTTGAAGTCAGAAAACATTGTATTGGCGTTGATGCAGTTAATGCAGCATTATAGGTTGTCTTAAATCAGTTGCTCAGCAGAAACTAACTAGTATTCGGAGCAAAATGGACAGAATTCGGGGAAGAAATTTAAAAAAATGTAAATAAAATCAAACCTTTGTCACTTCCTGTTGTAGAGTGGCCTGTTTCGCTGTCAGATCAGCGACGTCATGTGTCGTGTTGTAGATAAATGTACCAATCTTGTCCTCGTATATACGTTCTCCTCCTGTTACAAGAAATAACAAAATTAATCACTCAGACATTGTATTGATCAATCAAATTGTTGTCGAAATACCACTATGAATATCGCCGAATATATGACATTTTTAACAATCCCACGTGACATTTAGGGGAAAGTCTGTGTAAAGCCCACTTCAGAATATCATTTTATACTTTTCAAATAAAGTTGATAAACACTTGCAAGGAAAGTTTTGTATCTCTCTGAATTTCCATTATTATTAATGTTTCTGAGATAATTTAATAGATCGGAATGCTGATTGCAAAAAGTACCGGAAATCAGAGCAAAGAGGTTTTACAGAAAGTAGGAAACAACCGAGCAAAGATCTATTATACTTACAGGTTTTATTTGAAGAAAATCCATTCAAAATAGAAAAAAGATACTTGAAACCGCGGCGTTAATGCTTTTTCTTTTTTACCCTTAATCATTTTATAGAAATGATAAACCACTTGTTTCTTTTTTTAGACTTGAACACATTTGTGAATGTTTTTAATTTTCACCGTTGACTTGTCATACTACTGTTTTCTAAAAGCCGGTGCTAGGGGGCGTGGACGTTACTAGCTTTACATTTACCACTACAACCCATGAACAGGCACAACGGAAACCTTTTCAACTTTACCGATTTAGACGTTCTTTAGGGATTTTGTTAGTTGCTTTTGCTAAGACTAAAACATTTATTTGTCAAATTACTTGAAATGTACGTCGATTTGATCGGTAACTAAAACGTTTGTAGAAAAAAATTAACACAGTGGTCTCTTTGATTTTGAGATTTCATGGTCATATGTTTAAACTTGAAATTATTCACTGGGCCTGCTTGCTTTGTTCGCATTTGTGTGCGTCTTTGATGAGCTATTTCAGTTATAGATGAACAGGTATAAATGGAAGATAACCGAGGGTATGTCCGTTCTATTATAAGTAATGACACGCATCCTTATGGAAAAAAGAAGTTCTTGCTATATGAAACAGTTTCAAATATATTTCCAGCCAATTAAACAACAGTTGAAACATGTCAATCCCATGACAGATGAACCTTCAGATTCGTCGTGATATATTTCTATTTCTTATTATACATGTGGCATGAAGAGTCTATCTGCGTGATAAAAACCGCAGGGAGATTCTTTACGCACACGGACATGTGACGCAGTATAATGCAAATCTATTGCAAATACTTTTCACACTAATAATGCGCAGCATATATGTTTGTAATACCGACCAAAACGTTTGGAGACACGTACAAAATGTACAGAATGAAATAATTACACGAAAAAAATAGAGGACAGGACACGTACAAAAAGAACATTTGGGAACACGTAGGACATCTTCAAAGAAATACACGTCTTGAATCTATGCTATTTCAAATTTTTCTACTGATATTCTTGTGTTCATTACATTAAAATAATAGAATTTGATAAGAAATTATTAAATAAAGCCATAACTTAAATATATTTATAAGAGTTGTTTAAAAAAAAAACCTCACAATTACCTTTCAGATTGGCAATTTGATGAGTTATGTTTGGGAGACGGTTGTCAAGGTTACTAATATCTGTCTCGAGAGAAGTCAGCTTAGCTCCTGCAGCTTGTTCACTACGCTCCATTTGTTGTTCCTGAAATAGTAACATAAGAGATGTGCGATTCCCATGTTTTCTTGTTCAACCTTTACAAGTCGAACTAGTATATACAATTTATTTGTTTTATAAATTTATTTATTTCATTTAGCAACAGATTGTTTAAGGAGGAAAATCGTTATCTTGTAAAATTGACACATTTGTGATTATTTTGATGAAACTCACAATCAACATTACTGTATTTGAACAATAGTGAGAAGCAGAAATATGCTGGAAGTTGTTTTCAAATGGCTTGGACCTTTGTATTGTTGAGCAAGTGTTATTGTATTTTATAGTCTTAGTAAAAATTGCCAATAATGTTATGAAGCACAACATTATAATGTCAGAAATGAAGAACGGAATTTAGAGAAGAGCATTTAAGGTCCGGACATCCTTTAAGCAATATGTTTATTTTCAATATTAATCGTTTAAAGGCGCTGTGTCATGAATATATCTGCAAGGTTTCATTTCAAGTTGTACATGTTTAATGATAAATTAGAAGAGAATATTAGTATAATTTATTGTAACATTGACATACACGAGTAAAGCATTGCTGCTATCTTTATTTTCTTGACGTTTTATATTTCTAAAGAATTTGTACATATGAGCCGCGTCACGACAAAACCAACATAATGCGTTTGCGACCAGCATGGATCCAGACCAGCCTGTGCATCCGCGCAGTCTGATCAGGATCCATGCTGTTCGCTTACAAACCCTATTACAAGTAGTTAAACTGATAGCGAACAGCATGAATCCTGATCAGACTGCAAACGGATGCGCAGGCTGGTCTGGATCCATGCTGGTCGCAAACGCATTATGTTGGTTTTGTCGTGACGCGGCTCATATATCTGTGGACGAAACACAATGCGTGAAGACCAAACAATTCTGCTATTTTAGCGACACCATGGCCGCATTTATCAGCCGAGTTTGACATAAAGATTTGAACTAAATCTTTTTTAATCGTCGAGTTTTTTTCTTCTTTTAACCCAGTTTTTACGTGAAATAAATATTTTAAAAAGTTAATACATTAAATATCCATACGATCACAGTGTTTGTGTTAACATATGAAAGTTTTGTTATAAGATGCCCTTGAAGCTTCCCACTTGATACCCCAGAATTTTTGGGTTGCATTGATTTTCACTAAAAATGATTAAATATGAAGCTTCGGTATTCTAAAAACCGTCAAAACATAGTCCATCTTTCAATATTAATAGCTTTAACATTCACAGTTTATTCTAAACCATTTGAGATTACTTTATGATAAAAATAATGAATGGAATGAAAGGGAAACTGGAATACTTCGCCTACGTGTTGTGGCTTGTTGAAAGAAAAAAGTCTCATTTTAAAGTAATTGTCGGTAATCTGCTTTAAAAAAGACAAACATGCCCTGTATATCAACTGACTATTGCACTGCTTTTGTCTATAGTCAGCATATCCAGTAAGCTAATGAAATCAAATGAAATTCTTTCAATCATTGAAACGAGATCAAAAACATCAAAACCAATGAAGAAAATTCCGTCAATGTCCAAAAACAATATAATAATAATAATAATAATAATAATAATAATAATAATAATAATAATAATAATAATAATCTTTATTTAAAGAAGGCAACACATAAAGACATACAACCGTGAAAACACAAATAACATATCTTGATTTCTGAAAAATATATAAATGATATGAATAAACTGTTACATGTATTTTCTATTATTTTCGATGCATGCTCGGGTAAATTAGAGTTTTCTTCACCAAGTAGCTTTCAAGTCACCGCTTGACATTAACACATGGAGGTATTTTTTTACCTCCCAACATACACAGACACACTAAAAAGTTAGTGTTATTTAAATGTTTTGTTCTTACCAGTTTTTCGATGTTGTCTAGTTGTCGTTGTGTAATTTGTTCTGCTACACTGGCGTTTATTACCAGGTCCGTGATTTGTTGCCTCACTGCCGACAGACTCACACCGCCTACACCTACAATGTTTCAACTTTTTTATATCAATATTTTATTTAGATATTTTAACTTGTTCTTTATTTTCGTATAGGCTGAGATATGTTTCGCATAAAATCACCATTAGACCCTACATGACACTAGACGTGTCCCCGATGTTTAATATTAAATTGCAATTTTCGGACAAAGACCCACTGCTGATGTTGTAGGTATCTGTGTTGAGTGTTGAGCACATGTATTTTCATTCATTTCATATCAATATCAATTATCAAATATCAATAAAGAACATGATTTAAATTAAAATGTCAATCTACAACAACTGTATCAGATATATTTAAACAGATGAAAGCAATTCAGTATTATTGTACTGGCAATAAGATGAAAAAGATGAGCATCATGTCACTTTAACAAGTTATCACAACTACAATGCATACCACTTTATTCAATGAGTGAAATTCTATTATTCTAAATTTGAATGTGATGATACATCATCAAATGAAACATGAAAACAAATATTTAAAAAACGTAATGATGCTATGACAGTGATGCGACGTGTTTGCATATAAATACGCCTGGGTAATATTTCTTTTCAGTAGCATAGCTGCTAGTACGGTAATATGATATCAGATATATATTTGATTCATATCATTAAGGTATGCTTTCTGATATAATTCAAATATAAATCAAATTCTCTCAGAGCATCATAGATGATACAAACATGGGGTTTATAAACAGGGAATATTTGTAAAAACAAAAGAACAGCAGTATGTATACATGGCAAGTCTTTACAGAGAACATGCAGCAATGAAATGTATTTTGTTTTTCCATTTTCCCGGTGTTCCCACCAATTATTGTTTCATTATTGTCGGCAAAATAACGTTAAATTATCTAACTTATATATGTCATTCATTATTGTTATATTATCATTATATTACAACTAAATATAATTTAACATTTACCCTTATCTATCATACGTTTGACTTGGTTCATTTTTGGAATTCGAGAATCATGATTATTTTCTAAACTGTTATTTTAGAATAAGTATATTTTTATGATAACAAACTACATGTGTACCTGGTTTTGTTGTTTTAAGGACATTTCTGATTGTTGTATCAAGGGCGTTTAATTGCTGCTCTGTAGCCGTTAGTGTTAGTTGATTTGAAGTAAGTTCGTTCAGAAGTTTCGTGTGTATAGCTGTAGTCTGAGCGGCTTCTTTAGCGATAGAACTTGAAATAATGGCCAATTTATTTGTAATTTTGGCAAGTTCTTGTTGGAAGGTTGCTTTAGCCGAGTTCAGAAGTTGTTGGGTTTGATTTACAGATGCAGCACGTTTATGTCTCGTTCCGCTGATTGCTGGTATCTCGTCGTTAACCGAGTCCGACAGTACACGACTCACAAATCGTTTTAAAGTTAAAATTTCTTCTTCAACATCATGAATGTTCATATCCGTGCTTTTTGAATCGTCTAATAACGTCGTCAGCTGATGGTTAAATAATTCAAAAGCATCGTATTGAAAGTCTTGAACCGCCTTTACACGTCCGCTTGTCTCATAAATGTTCGCGTCGACCTTTTCTTCCAGCGCTCCTGTTGCATCACAGAACGATATGTCAGGTACTGGCACCTTTACGGAACACTGTGACATGGCCGTAATACGTGCAATGCATGATAATGCACCGATACACATAAAGTAACAAATATATGAATTCATCTTGGCAAGAAAATAAGCGTAACTTTGTTTATGTTTCTACAAATTCACTAAATATATTTTGTTGTAGAGCGAATGGATAATGAACACTTGAATAATTCAGCTGCGAAATCTGGTATGAAAAAAATATTTCCAAACAATAAATAAACATCTACTAATCGTTTATAAGTCCTCCACTTGTTGCGAGTTATTTTATGTTAAGAGGTTGATTAACAAAGTTCAATAACGTGCGCCCTCCCTTGCATGTTTAATGTTGTTTCCTGATATGTCAGCTATATCCAATAGAAGAGCAAGATCCCTGTCTAGATAAAACCTCTTATAGATACCCTCCAAATTTATACACCATCCTATTAAATTAAGTAGACAAACTCATTGTGAGGATCAAACAAGTTGTTTACAATTTAAATTCACAACTATGACCTTATGTTATGTTTTGTGTCGCCTTTACAGCTCCTGGAATGAAGAGAATAAAGCACAAAGTAAAGGTTTCAATGGAGAAACAGCGAACAGTATAACCGCGTCGTCAAGATATTCAAGCTGTAAAGGAATTCACATGGAAATATAATGCGGGAAATATAAACACACTTTAGACGTTTGTAACGCCGTCACGCGTTTAGATAAATTGGACAAACATCGCGCACCAGACCGATAACCGATAAATGACAAATATCAATAATCATCTTCAACTTTCTTGTTAACTTCTTGACAATTCAATTTATATCGTCTTCAACTTCTTGTATTTTGCTTTCTAATGTTTTTTCCATATCTTAATTAATTTTACAGGAAGCGTACCCTAATGTTGTTATTTTTTAAACAGAGAATATTAATCAGAAAACAACAACAGATAATTAGTTATTTAAAAATGACGAACGTTTATAATTATTACATTCGATTTTGACATCGTCAAAAACATCGCAGGTTCACTTTTCAAGATGTGCCTTATCAGTGTCATCAAAATTTCAGTTGTTAAGTTTATCCTTACTAAAACACATTTTGTATTGCTGTAACATCTTATTGTATCATAGTTTGAGGACCTTTCTATTGAAAATGTGTCAGAGTTAAATCGTATACATACATGCACCGTGCGTTAACTAGAGTGCAGGTATTAGTTACCCGCACTCCAGAGCATGCCCATTGATTGGCTCATATTTGCTGGGGTTTACATATTGTGACGGCAGAGAAAGGGAAAGCGACAGAAATATCATATTCATATGTTCGTTCATTGGTTCCTTTTTTGCCGGGGTTTCATGTTGTGACAACAGGGAACGTGTTTTTTATGTTTGGCTATGATACAAAAGAGAAAGAACATCAAAACACTCGGCAATCTGATTAATACTCTGGGGCTACGCCCCCTCGTACAAATCAGATAGCCTCGTGTTTCGATGCTCTTTCTATTATTTATTTCGGTGGCATATCTGAATAAAACATGGAATTGCCCTTAATCTGCTGAAAAGGTATTTTGGACTTGACCTACTATGAATATAGAGCGGTAAATAAAAAATTTAAGGGCTTTCAATACTAAAATGCAGAAATCGAGCTGCCATCAGTATAGTGTTTGGCCAGGCTGCAAAGATGATCACGCATCCGCAGCTCTACACTATCGTAAAGATGAGCACGCATGCCCGGCTGTACACTATCATAAAGATGAGCACGCATGCCCGGCGCTACACTATCACTAAGATTATCACGCATGCCCGGCTGTACACTATCATAAAGATGAGCACGCATGCCCGGCGCTACACTATCATAAAGATGATCACGCATGCCCGGCGCTACACTATCATAAAGATGAGCACGCATGCCCGGCGCTACACTATCGTAAAGATGAGCACGCATGTCCGGCTGTACACTATCATAAAGATAAGCACGCATGCCCGGCGCTACACTATCATAAAGATGAGCACGCATGCCCGACTCTACACTATTATAAAGATGAGCACGCATGCCCGACTCTACACTATTATAAAGATGTGCACGCATGCCCGACGCTACACTATCATAAAGATGTGCACGCATGCCCGGCTCTACACTATCATAAAGATGTGCACGCATGCCCGACTCTACACTATCATTAAGATGTGCACGCATGTCCTGCTCTACACTATCATAAAGATGAGCACGCATGCCCGGCTTTACACTATCATTAAGATGTGCACGCATGCCCGGTTTTACACTATCATTAAGATGTGCACGCATGCCCGACTCTACACTATCATTAAGATGTGCACGCATGCCCGGCTTTACACTATCATTAAAATGTGCACGCATGCCCGGCTTTACACTATCATTAAGATGTGCACGCATGCCCGGCTTTACACTATCATTAAGATGTGCACGCATGCCCGGCTTTACACTATCATAAAGATGAGCACGCATGCCCGGCTTTACACTATCATTAAGATGTGCACGCATGCCCGGCTTTACACTATCATTAAGATGTGCACGCATGCCCGGCTTTACACTATCATTAAGATGTGCACGCATGCCCGGCTTTACACTATCATTAAGATGTGCACGCATGCCCGGCTTTACACTATCATTAAGATGTGCACGCATGCCCGGCTTTACACTATCATTAAGATGTGCACGCATGCCCGGCTTTACACTATCATTAAGATGTGCACGCATGCCCGGCTTTACACTATCATTAAGATGTGCACGCATGCCCGGCTTTACACTATCATTAAGATGTGCACGCATGCCCGGCTTTACACTATCATTAAGATGTGCACGCATGCCCGGCTTTACACTATCATTAAGATGTGCACGCATGCCCGGCTTTACACTATCATTAAGATGTGCACGCATGCCCGGCTTTACACTATCATTAAGATGTGCACGCATGCCCGGCTTTACACTGTCATTGTCGTTTACAGCATGTCAAGGTTTGATAAATGCAGAATTTCGTTTATGCTTTTTTATGCATATAAAAGTTATTATTTTTTATGCAAATACTGTCATAGTTAGGGAAATACTAATTTATATCAAATGTTGAAGCTATGTATTTAAATAATGAAGAGTAAGTGTAACTGCCTTGTAATGTCTTTAAATATTTCAGAAATAACTTTAAAAAAACTCATTTGTATGGTTTTGATGTCTATATTATCAAGCACTTTTACTGAGCATAAAAAAAGGTCATTGTGTGCGTAAATACATTAGCTTATATATGAAATTAGTTATCAATTAGAACAGAAATATTATCCTGTCAGTACAAATATTACTATTTCTAATCATGCTTAACATTAAGGAATTATTCTTGTACATACATGCTCAAATTGTCGATGTCTTTTGCGAGTTGTTCTCAATTTCTCTCAGTTCACATCTATGAAGGGACTATAAGTACAGGTTCTTAAATTTCATTCACTAAAGTGCCAAACAGTAACACATTGGCGTGAAAAGAATGAAATTTACAATGTTTCTCCATTTTTATCGTCATACTACTTAAATCAAAGGAGTTAGTAATTTTTGAGTGATTAAATTACTTTTCAATGATGTGTAAAATATGGGAATAAGCAAACTTATGTCCAGCCCTAATCCTCCGGAGCCGATTGTTTACGTCGTTGTGAACAGTTTATGATATGATATCAGTTATAACCACCTTAATTTAGATAACGACAAAATCTGACCACAATCAATTAGAACGAAACAGATTGAGCCCTGTACATTTACATATGAGAAACAGTAGTTAGTTGAATTTGCCGTGCATACAGAACATCATAGTTAAAATACTCACTTTTAATTAATACTCAAAAAGTTATAAAACATTCAGTGCATGTCCATAAGGAAAAGAAAGCTGCAATCACAGATATCAAGAAAACGAACCATAGAAAATCTCCTTATATGGAAAGGACCAAAATGTTGCAGGTTCGGATTGACAGAGCCTGCTTTTTGCTGGAAATGTAAGTTTCTGTCTATGCCCACCACCAACGCCGCTTTAAGAAAACAAGAAAATTCTGACATTAAATGTTCATACTTTGTTAATAGTTAAACCTTCAATGTTGAGTCACCTGTTAAAAAGTACATGTCCAAAAAAAACAAAAAAAAACAAAACAAAACAAAACAAAAAAACAACGAGAAAATCAAGAACGATTGTCGGAACAAAAGAAAATGAAACATTTCAAAAAAGTATTATACGCAACACAGCCGTCAAAACATACAATTAAGGTATAGGAGAAATATCTTAACTTCGGTTGAACAGATCCCAAAGCAGGAACATAGAATAATGATAATTAAATCACAGTAGCATGCCTTTATACGTTTCAGTTGTTTTGATTCAGAATAGACACTAGTGTTGTACTGACCAAATAAAATTATCGACGAGTCTTCAGTTCATTTTCATTAACTTTGATTTTTACTCCAGGTTTTATTGAAAATCTTTTAAATAAAATTACCTTTAATACGAGATAATGTCAATGTCAACTGGGATGTTATGTAAATCTTTTGAACAAATTGCAATTGTTAAAGTTTAAATAACTCTCTAAAACAATCATATAAATTACTTATTAGTCTTAAAAAAATGATTTAGAAAATGTTTTAATATAGAATGTGTTGTTAGCAACGTACTTTTATTTATTTTTTATCTATGAAAAACCCGAAGCAAAATTGTATGACTAATCCAAATTACCAGGTAAAAGTACAGTCATTTCAAATACAACAGATTTCTTTCCTTAATTAAAATGATAATGCTATACAAATGCATGATGCACCCAGGAAGTTTTTTGTGCCTAAAACCGTATAAACAAGATAACATTTCCTTCATTGAAAACAATGTATGATTATTTGTTACCAAATCAGCAACCAAGACTCCAAAACTTCCCCTTTTTTTGTTAATAAGAGTTCATGTTAAAACCCCAAATTTTACGCTGTACTATGTATAATGTACGGAAGAGCATTAGTGCCAGGTGTATGTTTTTTATTAACTCGAAATTTCGAGTTACTAACTCGAAATTTCGAGTTACTAACTCGAAATTTCGACTTACTTATCTCGAAATTTCGACTTACTAACTCGAAATTTCGACTTACTAACTCGAAATTTCGAGTTACTTATCTCGAAATTTCGACTTACTAACTCGAAATTTCGACTTACTAACTCGAAATTTCGACTTACTAACTCGAAATTTCGACTTACATTGCACGACTTTCATTGGTTGCCGGTGAAAGCAAGGATTGAATTCAAGATACTTTCTTTCGTGTGTATATAGCTGTTGCACATTGACAGAGCACCTTTAACATTTATTTAACAGAACAATTTTATAGGGTCAAATTGTCCACACATACTGAACATATCCTTCGCTTTTTTGTGGAGGGGGGGGGGGGGGTTGTAAAATCACACTTTCCACATTTCTGTGTTAACCGGGTGTTTCTTTTTCTTAAGCACACATACAACCATCATGTGGAGAAACAACAAGTCCAAAACCCACCCTGTTGTAAACTACATGTGCAATATCATGTGTTAAATAAGTTTTAATTGGCGTGTATACGCCAGTTAGTCTGTCACGTTTCTTTATACTAATAATGTTTTTGTAACATTATTCATCATTTACTAATACTTTGATATTGTGTTGATAAAAGTTGATAAAAGTGATACTTGTTGTTATATAATGTTGGGAATAATATAAAAGCATCCGATTTTACAAGAAATATAGTCAGTCCAACAATTTTGATAAAGGCCTCAGCACGCCCTATTTTGGCCACGCCACGATACTTTCCTCAGATGTCCCACACGTGAAGTATAGGATCGGTTTTTTTACAGGGATGAGAAGAATTAAGATTAGTGAAAAGATATGTTCGAACAGATGGGATACAATACAACGTCTGAAGAACGCCTGAACGTACAAATTAAGGAAGCCTTGTTTTTTTAGGTCGGGTGTGTACATGCCATTACTAAGTTTAAGTTTAATTTCAATAGTTTTTGTCCAGGCACCCGTTTCTCCATCTCCATCGTTCAAAGGCACTGCCTACTATATCTTATACCATCTAACTAATAACTTTGGCCATTCTTGTAATGTTAATAAGTCGAAATTTCGAGTTACTAAGTCGAAATTTCGAGTTTGTAACTCGAAATTTCGAGATAAGTAAGTCGAAATTTCGAGTTAGTAACTCGAAATTTCGAGTTAATAAAAAACATACACCTGGCACTAATGCTCTTCCGTAATAATGAGTGCATTGTTATCGTTGTTTCTTGTCAACAGTGCTGCATGTCTGAAACTTTTTCCGAATGATAAAATGATCACCTTCGAGAATGGTATAAACTATCCACTGATTATGTGACTGTATATACATGTATACATTTAAGTCATTGCAGATCACTAATTCTATGGTTTTTAATTCTTAAACAAATATTTCAGTAATTACAAGTTACATGTATATCTTATTGTTTACAAGGATGAATGTACTTTAAAATACCACGTGTGTGCACCATGCACACCAGGAACTTATTTTTGTCGGATATTTACGGTTTCCATTTATATTCATTTGTTATATTGTTTATTTGAACAGATGACAGTTTAGGTAATTAGGCATTATACACTTCCATCACTTACAATTATTGCATGTTGAAATGTTTGAGCGTTTAAGTCAACAGGTACATTTTAGGAGAAATAACATAAACAGTTTGCATCAGGAAGGTGTTTAAAAGCTTTGACTTCTACAAAAAACAATATACACAAAGTAATCTGCAATCTCAAACATTTTTAATTCCTTTTTCATTTTATAGATGCACACGCACATTCGCACTCTCACATAGCGGTTTCAGTAAAAAAGAATTACCTTTAGTTAATATATGAATTAACCATATGGGTTAAAATATCTCGCTGGTCCTCACATTAGCGGCGACTTTTCCAGCAGAATCTAGCCCTTTCTTTGTTCGATATGGTGGTAAGTAGTTGACAAAACTTCCAAGGCATCATTGTTTCAAACGAAACGAAACGGTTTCCTTCCTACAGCTACAGTCTCACTTACATCCCGGCAGAGCCCCGGTAGACGTCCGGGGTGATCCGGGAACGACCGGGGTACAACCGGAAACAACCGGAGTACATCCGTAACTCTGCCGGCAACGTCCGGGATGATCCAGGATGATCCGGGAACATCCGGCATTCGACCCCGGATAGAATAAAATATCTAATATCACCGGGGTGGTCCGGGATGATCCGGGAAGGTAGAGCTTTGCCGGCTTCCTCCTTAGCTCTACCGGGAACGACCGGGGTTATACCGGGGAAGCACCGTAGCTCTGCCGGCACAAACCGGGGATGATCCGGGGTATGATATAGCCGGTAGAGCTACGGTAGAGCCCCGGTATATGCCGACAGAGCCCCGGTAACTACAGGCAGAGCCCCGGAGGATGAAGGTAGAGCTACGGTTGATTCCGGTAGAGCCCCGGCATAGCCCGGATCATTTCAAAAGAATAACGACAATTTGCGATGATTGCAATTGTTTGTATTAAAATCCTTCCCATTTCCCTTCTATCCAGTATGGCATAAGGAATTTTCAGAAAATCATCATGAATTACTATTCTGGAACAATAGATATTATATTAAATAAAAATTATGTATCAATGTTATTTTTTTCGGTCGTTTTCAATCCACCGGGGTTCTACCGGGGCTCTGCCTGGATCGTCCTGGGCTCTGCCTGGATCGACCGGGGCTCTGCCTGGGTCAACCGGGGCTCTTCCGGCGTCATCCGGGAATGACCGGGGAAGCACCGGCATGAACCGTAGCTTCACCTGGGCTCTGCCTGGATGATCCGGAGCGCATCCTGGGTGGTTATTTCGGAACTACCGTAGTGCTGCCGGGGTACGTGTGACCGCAACGATAATTTCATCCCGGATCGTCCCGGATCATCCCGGT